TCATCAACATCAGGATGGTTGTGGCATGAATTGATTTGAATTAATTCTTTAATGCAGTGGACTACAACAATGATTGTAGATTTCATAAGTTACAAATTAGAAATAATAAAATAAAAAAATTCAAAAAAAACACAACATTTGGTATTTGTTAGTTTCTTATTCATTCTTTTAGACAAAAATTTACCAAACAAAGAACTTTTGTCACAAAAATTTGATAAATTTTTTTTCTATTTAAATAAAAAAAAATCAAATTCTATATATTACATTATATTTGGTAGATTCTATAGTTGTTAAAATGATTATCATCATTTAATTTTTCATATCAAATCATTGAGTATTGTAAATTATCAATATACATTATTTGTTTAAGTGCAAGAACATTTTAATTATTTTTGAATGTTATCAATAGTTTCAAATTAAATAATTTTAAAAATAAATAAAAATCTAGTCATAATTTTATGACTACAAGTTTTAAAGATATAATGGATTTTTTTTTATATTTTATGATTTATGTTTTTTTCTATTTTTTATGCGTACCTATATCATGTAAATCACAAACCAAAATACAAGTATTTAATGTAATTTAGATGTATCTGATTGATTTGTCTTATAATTATAATTAGATTTAGAATTTTTAAATAATTTATATAAGGTGGATCTTCTATTAATAAAATCCAAACATTCATATTTTTTTGAATAAAAATTTTAAAATAAAATAATTAAAAGAAAATTTTAAATAATATTCTGATTTTATTTTACTTTTATAATATAAATGTATAGGTGAGTGTATTTTCATAACCACAAATTCATTTGTGCACATTTTTCAAGTTATTAAAAATGAAGAAGATATAAATTTATGATTTTATGTATATACATATACATATACAAAATAATTTTTGATTTTGTACTACAATTACATGATTAACAAAGATCAAAAAAATTGACCATTGTATTTATTTATGTATTCAATTGTATAAATAGTGAAATTGCAAATAATATTTTGATTTTACATAAATGTTGCAAATTTTATATTATTAATTTGGTTCTTTTATGAGTAATTTGTAGTTCAATATTATTAATTAAAAAACAGTACTTCAAGAGTAATATTTTTAATTAAAATGAAGTATGATATTTTAATCATCAAATTCACAATAGGCTTTTCTAAGAATAAAAAAATGTAAAATAGTTAATCATAGTATTAATTACTCAAAATATTTTAATATTCCATAAATTAAATATAATTAATAATACGTATATTTTTTTCAATAAATAATTAAGATAATTTAAATTATAAAAGAATACATATATACATGATTTGGATTTTTGATAAAAAATTTCAGTATGCATGTAAATTATTAATAATGGATTGAAATCAAGTAGTAAAGACATTGAAGATATAACTTGATTTTGGAAGGTACTCCATTGGGTAGATGAGCAAACCATACCATCAACAAAATTAAATCCACATGTTATATGGTACATGTTGTTTTCATAGAAAGATTGAGCTTCCACTTCTTGAAAATCTCCTATTATTAATTAGACAACTACTTGACGGACAAGATGAATAAACCAAGGAGTTTTGGAATATTATTTGACAATATAATTGTACACATTTATTTACATTTCTTGGTGCAAAAATTGATAATATTATATTATAAGCATATGGTCTATATAGCTTTTACATACATAGAGAGCTTTGGCATCAAATGGATATTCTTTTTATAGAATAAGATATAGAAACAAGTTTTATGTAACTTTACATTTATGATTCCAATATTGTACATGAAGCAAGGATGGCATGTAATAAAAATTTGTCAGTTCAAACAATGTGAAAACTTCAAGAATGTTCAAGAAAATATCATGTATTTTTTCCACTTTGTTGACAAGCTCATGAAATATTATCTAAAGCAAGAGAAAGAAGAAAAAGCAGTGATGATATACACATTCATCTTCACTTTAGTAAAGATGTTGACAAAAGATATTACAATTTTCCAACTGCTAATGAAGTTGTTGTTATAAATAATGGTTTACAAATAAAAAATATGTTTGTAAATTAAAATGAAGAAACATTAATTGTTTTATTCTAATAAATATATTCTTTTTCTTATATATTTTTAAAAGTGGTCAATTTTTGACTAACCAACCACAAATTAAGATTTTACAATTTTTTTGTAGTCAATAGTACACATTTATATTAAAACAATTCATCTAATAAATTTCTAATAATTAATAATTTTGTATCATTTATTGTTCTTTTATAGATAGATGTATATTTATAAATGAATTGGTATAATTTTACACATATGGTTTTTAAGAAATTCGATGTTACACATGACCTCATTTTTTGTTGATATGTTCAAAATTTGATGCCTCAAGGAAATATCTTTATTGAATATATTTTAGAAAATTCAATTGATTTAAAAAAATTAATTTATAATTCAATAATCTTGGTTCAGTTATGAAAAAAAAAAAACAAACAAAAACAAACAAAAAAAAAACAAAACAAACAAAAAAACAAGTAAACCTAGTTTGTTTATGTATGTGTAAATGTAATTAAATTTTTAGTTTGAGGAAATGGTATATAAATTAAAAAATGAAATATAGAGTTTTTGAATAAATTTAAAATTTTTGATTTATTAAAGTTTTAAAATAAATACATAAAAGAAGTTAAAATAGATAAATAGATAAAAAAAAATTAAAAGTACAAAAAAAATCTTTTTCATCAACAACACTATATGGAATAAATTATTTGGATTTTGATTCTTAACACATTGAAGCCCCAAGTAAAAAAATTGACACTAAATGCCACATTAATTTTCTAAAGAGAAAAATTTCAGTATGGTTCAATAGATTTGTAAAAATTATGTACATTTTTTAATTTTTTGATAAAAAACACCATTAAAAAATTTGAATTTGATTTTTTTTATTTTTTTATTTTTTATTGATTCACAATCTTCTAAGAATTGAAATCTTCACTTTTAAGACTTCTTGATACTATGTTGCACTTGAGGGTTTGTACCTTTATAGATTGATCAATTTGTAAGTGATCTTAGAACTAATTTTGTAGATTTGCATGGCATAAGATAATAAGTTCCTACATTTTATTTTCAAACTTTTTTGTATCCAATGGCATGGATTTCCTCTAGGAAATATATATATATATATATATATATATATATATATATATATGTGTGTGTGTGTGTGTGTGTGTGTAGGAATGTTAAATAGACCAAGGTTTTTATTAAATCAATCTACTTATGATAAAGAATATGGTAATTATGATGAATGTGGTTGATTTTCATTGGTTTTGGATCTAATAATAAAGAAATAAATGTAGAAGTCAGTTTTTTTTTCTTGATTGGTGGGTGAATTTAATAAAAGCCTATGTCTATTTGACATAAATTTATTTATATATATATATATATATATATATATATAGTATTTTTTCCTAAACAATTTTTTTTGCTAAAGAAGTGGGTTTAAAAACTTAGATTGATTAATAAATTACTATAGTTTTCAATTCAAAACCATAATTTGATTTACTAGAGTAATGTAAAAAAAAAATTAGAGAATGTTACAAAAGCTATTTCATGAAATAAAAAATATGATGTTGATAGACTTTGATTGGCTACATGTAATAGTTTCATACATATCCAATCTTCATATTATGCTTCATCCACATATTATATTTGATTCTTATACATTCCAAATTTCTCTAATTGATTAATGATGCTAAATTGATGCCTCCAAAAGGATGGAAAAATGATGTTCAAGAAAATGCTTTCTAACATTGCAATTTATACTAAGATTTTTATACCAAATTATATTTTTTCTTCTAAAACTTTTTTTTTCTTTGTCTTGAATCTCTTTAAATTAATCTTCTCCTAATAATTAAGATTTTGGCACTCTAAGTGCACCTTTTGTTTTAAAACAATCAATGAATAAATTTCATCACTTATACAAATCTTTTCATAAACTATACAAATTTCCATCCTACAAAATGAATTTATAATTCTAAAACTAAACCAACAATCTTAAATAATCCTAAAACCATCATTTAATTTCTATGTATATTATGATAATTTCATTTCAATCTACAACTTTAATGTAAAAATTAATAATCTCAAATCAAAATCCCTAATCTAAAATGACTTGTATCTAAAAAAATCTACCTAACAAACTTTTATATACAACTCAAATAATCTATCAACAATAATATACAAATAATATGCATAGTATTGGCCATCCTAACACAAAGTGAATTAAAGGCACCCACCTTCTTAATTGAAAAGAAAAACCCACTCAAGTTCCAAAAAGCATCCAATCAAACTATATCTTTCATGTAATTAACAAACATCCTTGTTGAAAATCTCATAAAGATAACTTTAGAAAATTCTTTTTTGAAACTTCCATCAAGGCAATCTTTCACCTTACCAATACCAATCTCCCATGGTCTTTTCTCATGGAGACATAAAATCATTGCATTGTTACAATAGGGCAACATGTGCCACAAGCAAGGGATAGTGTGATTGTACACATTACAATCTTTCCAGCAAATCTCAATTGCAAAATTAGCACCAAAGAGTGATTGGTCACCAACTCAGCCAAACGATTGGATTGCACTCATTAGAAACCTCGGGAATACCAGCAAGAAAATAAGTGAGATACAACATCTCACAACGGCCAACATCACAGCAAAACAAAATTCCCTCCAACTAACGCACGCTCTCAAACCCCGCCAACGTAGAGCAGAAAGGCTCGCAACCACCACTACGAAGATATAGCATAAAATTCTCATGAGAATAAATCCTAGAACTGCCCTAAAAGTTTACACGATAAAACAAACGCTTCACTCAAGCACTCTCGTTCCTAGAACTACACTAAGCCTAGTCGCAGCAATATTCTGAACAAGGACTAAATTATCATACAACAATATCAAGGGTATTACCACAAACCAACCAAAGTGAGCATAACAAAGTACACAAGTCACTTTTGAGAACTTTTGTCGTAGAGAATACCAAAAGAGGCTCTTAAATTGAAGTTCAACAATCTGCCACCAAGGCAAGTATGACAAGTAAGGTTGCCATTTCTCAATAAGGTTTTAAGAAAATTACATCTCATCGTTCACATTGTCCGCAAATGATCCACCACGACTTGCACAGCGCCGCTTTCCAAATACACATGCACCAGGCGTTGAAGAATTCAACAAAACTTCGCGCGGCTCAAGTGCTCTCCACCAAAAAGCACTTCGCGACTTCCATTCAAGTCAAACTGGACCCTCTCTCTGGCACAGGAAACGGATCAGTTGTGCAGACATGTAATCACCTCCCACACAACGCTCATGCTCATCAAAACACGGGGGCTTGACACTACAATCCGACAAGACACCTATAAGGCAAATTAACTTATACACGATACAGAGCGGCACAAAAGAAATGGTTTAAGGCTATCCCACATTGAAGACTGAAAGGAGAAGTGAGGTATCTCAACAATAATGATACGCGTGGGAACACCGAAAGCCACCCAACGCAATACGCAAGCCCCTCAAAACCTAATACATATCCTAACGCATCCCCTGATGCAGCAACCACTGTGCACCGTACAACGAATCAAAATTCCGTATTGGTGGATCTCTCTCTCCCCCGACGTAGAGCTCCCACAGAAAAATTTACCTCCGCCTATGAACACCGCGCAGTGCAACAAAGCTGCTCCGGCCACCCCAAACCCCTGCACCATTGACGAACCCTAATTCAATCCCCTCGAGACTCAAAGGCCCTCTGCAAGTTCCACTGGGCTCCACATCACAGGACTGGTGCCTCTGGAGGACTGTACTCTGGAATATGCCTCCAATGAATGAGGACTTAGTGGATGGGTTTACAGGATGATGGATGTAGTTTATCCCTCATCCTTCTATATTCGGTTGCGCCTATTTCCGACCCCATCTTTCAAACCCCATGGTGTCCCATTGTCCTGTGTCGTTGGGATCCTGTTCGAGAACGTTGGAAAACGTCGGATAACTCATGTTTGCCAAGTCAATTTTGTCCCAGCTCACATTGTTGGCTTTACACAATTGTTGGGGAAAATCAAACTTAAAATCACAAATATGATAAACTTTATCAAATAACATCAATACTAGTTATTTTTAGTAATTATAAACCATTTTCTAGAACGAGATTTAAATTTTTTAAGGACTTGACAGTGGGACACCATGGGGATATAGATATGAGCATTTTATATTTATAGATTTTACTTATTTATTTATAGTTTTAATATGGATATATGATTTCAAAAACTAATGAATAAGCATGTATATATATATATATATATATATATATATATATGTGTGTGTGTGTGTGTGTGTGTTATTTTTATTGTTATTGTCATCTTTTACACCTTTTTTTTCATTTTAAAAAAAATATATATTTTAAGTTTTTAAAAAATAAGCCAAAAATCTTATTTATAAAATAAAAAATATGTTTTATATCTTCTCATTAGAATTTCTAATACGCATATTCCATACAATGTGGTGGATAAAAATTACATCACAAATAACCATAAATCAATGTTGTATATGAAAATAATTATACAACTATTTATAGATGTGTAAAATAAAATTTTAAATTATATATATAGAGAGAGAGAGAAAGAAAGAGAAAAAGAAAGAAAGAAAGAAAGAAAGCAAGAAAGAAAGTGAGAGAGAGAGAATAAATGGATAATAAATCTAATAATTTTTTTCTATAAACTATATTAGATTGTTATTTTTCAAACATAGTCTATATAAAATTACTTAATATCAAAATAAAATTTATAGCAAGAAATGATAACTTTGTAATGTAAAGTCATATTTAGGAATATGATAAATTAGTACTAATATTTTTATTTATCTAAGAGTATTTTTGTTTTTGAAACTTATGTAGAATATTTACCTAGTTAATTAATGAAGGTCAACAAAAATAAATTAACTATTAGAAAAATATATGCAGTTAATTTTGCACTATGGAATAGAATCAATTTTCAAAATCTTTATTGGTCATTAGAAATTATTTTATTTGAAGTGATGAATCATATGAAAGAATATTATATATATATATATATATATATATATATGGAGAGAGAGAGAGAGAGAGGGAGAGAGAGAGAAATCTATTTTTGGTTCCTACTTCTTTATCACAATATGAAAGAATCAAAATATTTGTGCAATTCTAATGAATAACATAATCTATTAATCTTAGATTTTTACTATATATATATATATATATATATATATATCTTAAAAATAAGAATCATTTATTACATAAAATTTATATGGTTTAAAATATTATATTTTTGGTGATATTTAAAATAAGTCAAATTACATTATTTAAGTATTGATAAGTAAGAATAAATAAATAATTATAAATAAACAAGTATATTCTTTTTTATATTAAACATTGATCTTATCTAAAAGTAAGAAAAACAAATACTCACTTGTAGAAGGAATTATTTGTTATTTGACAATTTTATTGAATTATATTAATTATTATTATTATTATTATTATTACTTTTGATATTATAAACTATAATGATAGAAAAATCTATAAATAGATTATAAACTTTAAAATTATTATATTTTTATTTAATAAGTATAAACCTATAATTAAATAATATATTATAGAACCAAGAATTATAATAATTATTGTTCTATTAAATATGATTTGATTATATAACTTAGTAAACATATTAAATATTATATTAAAAAACGGTCTATAATTCTTAGATTTACATAAATATGATTATAATTCAAATTTTAGAATTTACTACTTTTGTTTTTTGATCTTTTAACTTTCAAAATTTTAAATCTTTATATAATATATCTATTTGAGTTAATTGTATAAATTCTTTAATAATATTTGGCCTTTTTTGTAGATTAGAAGTCATGACATGTGCATGTTGTATAAAGATAGATACATCTTGTTGCTTGGTCATTTGAAGATATTTTTATTTATTAAGTTTTATTCTTGTAATTGAAATAGTATTTACTCATAATAATCCATTCAAGAACTTCTAAATCTTACAAGGGTCTAAGATGTGAATCATGTTTTCAATCAAAAAATAATCTTAATATGTTTTAACCAAAAAACATGGTCAAAGAATCAATAAAAGCTAAATTATTATCTTAACATTTTTTTACTATTTTCCAATCTACTTATAGATTTTGGAAAACAATTTGGTTGTTAACTACTTGTTATTCTTGCCAATTCATGTGAAGAAACTTGATTTGGTAATTATTCAACTAAGTCTTAGAAATCTTTCTTTTTAAGCATATTCTATATAGTCATTGACTCATGTTTGTAACTCATAGGTCCATAGAGCATGGTTTCTTGCAAACACATATTTTTTCATAGATGTTCATCACCTTCCCCTACATGAACAAGGACAACAATTCCACTCAACTTGTAAGAAAATTCAATCAATTTAGTCACAACACAACACTTATGATAGTGTAACAATGCAATACAAACTATTTTAGCAAAGTCTTGATTTTTTGTTTCTCAAACGGCCTAGCTCTACTACCACAATGAATTAAGCAATGTAACATCAATCACAAATAACAATCATGCTATACTCAGGTGGTGACAAAGGTGAACACCTGTATTAAAATACATCATTCCTCCACCTTCATAGGATCTAGTCTACAATAGACATATTTTCGAGTTATTTCTGGAGAAAGTGCGGCATGGAAAAGGTCCGTTCGCGACATGATACGATACGACAAGCGATGGATTTTGTGGGGGGTCTAGGATTTTGGTATAGGGAAGTGGGCTTGGTGAATTTGGGTAGCTGAGTTTGTAAGTGGGGATTTCAGTGAATCCGTCGCTTCGCAGAAGTGTTCAGGAGAAGTGTAGCAGCAAATTTGTCATGCGATTGTATGACCTGACCTTCTGGTTTGGGGGTGCATGCAAAATGGGAAAGCGTTGAGGGTTAGGAGGGCGTTTGCCAGGATCTCTTACTTCACGGACGTAGAGGCATTTGATGAGGTGTTTCATAACCAAGTCACTGTTGCAGAGATTCGAGTCCGTAAGATTTGAGCACATTTTGACAATTTAGGGTGGGGTTTTTCTCGAAGCCTTTTTTTTTTTTTTTTTTTTTTTTTTTCCTGTTTCCAGAGGGGAATTGTTTGGTGGAGATGGCTGAACTTCGAAAGGACCAACTCCGGCAGAGCTGGATTACAATCTCTGACAAACGTGGGAAGCGGCCGACGGATTTCAGCAGATCGGACAGCCAGAGCAGAGACGGAGCTAGTGTCGGCCCGTGTGCCTTTTGTCATGGATTTGAACACGTAAATGGGCACGAGACATTTGCAATTCGAGACGGTGACCAAGACGATGCACCCGACTGGCGAGTCCGCGTCATTAAGAATAAGTATCCAGCTGTGTCCATGGACGACGGTGAGTTGAAATTAGAGGGGGAGGGAACAGTTTATGGCGCGTGCCGCCTGCCCGGTTTCGGCAGCCACGAAGTTATTATTGAAACTCCCAACCATCAACTGACTCTTCCAGAGCTTCCAGCTTCTCACATAGCTGAGGTACTTTGTCGAGAAGCTTCATGCTCCCAAACTCTTCCTCTTCTCCTTGATTCTTCTGTTTTTCGAGCGATATGCTCGTAATTTCAGTACTGGGCAATTTTTCAATTGTGTTGAGGTCAGTTTAATTGCTTGGAATTGCAAGCGTACCGATCACGCCAGCAGCAGAACCCGCTTGAATGAGACGTGCACGATGATCGGGTGTGAGAAAGGCTTCACAGCAATGAGTACCTAGAGTGAAGCGAATGGTGTAGCAGATCGCCAGGTCTCTTCAAGCGTCGACACTGCCCTGTTGTTGAAGGTGGCTGTGCAATATTGAAGTGAAATTGTGTTGTTGCAGGTGTTAAAAGCGTATCAAGCACGAATAAACTTCTTTCAAAGTGATTCACGATTCAAATTTTGTCAGGTATTTACGCTGGTTGTCGCTCTTCATTTCTAATTGTTTGGCCTCTTGATTTACAAGCCCCGGCATCTGTTGCCCAATCTAGGACAATCTTGTAGCGCTTCACAGGGTTGTGGTCGTGCTCAAATGCTTGCTTATCACCCAGAGCAGGACGACCATTGACACGGCAAAATCGCGATGGGATGCAAATTGACAGGTGTTTAAGAACAGGGGCAACAGAGCTGGAGCATCAATGACCCATTCCCACAGCCAATTGATCGCGTTGCCAGTCATAGCCCACAACAGAATGTGTGAACTCGACGGCTCTCAAGACTACTACAACAAGCACAAGCGGTGCATCTTATGCGACGTTGTGAAACACGATACCCAACTACAACGGAGCCGCCTCATTGACGAGAACGAGCACTTCGTCACCATCGCTCCATACGCGCCCATGTACCCATACGAGATTTGGTTGTTGCCCAAACGCCACGCCTCAAACTACGAAACCATCAACGAAGATGAGGTAACCCACAATGTCATCAACGCATTACTCTGCAGCTCAATGAGATCCAGATTCTTTCAACCTTTCTCGAAGTAAGTGGGCATTGTATGGATTGCCGTTGAGAGAGAGATGTGGGGTGTGTTGATGCCACAGATTCAAGCCATGGCGAGGATGCTGAAGCTGACGCTGCAAAAGATAGACCAGGCATTCAGGTACCCACCATACAATTACACGCTGCAGACGAGTCCGCTGGGGGAGGGGAATTTCAACCTGGCACATTATCACTGGTACCTGGACATAGCCCCGCATTTGACCACTCTCGGCGGATTCGAGATGGGCAGCGGATGCTACATCAATCCTGTTGCTCCGGAGAAAGCCGCCGAGTTCCTCCGCAACTGTAACGTGGGCTCATCGTGAACATCCCTCCCTTCCTGCTCATTTGTTAACTCCATCTCTCCCTCTGTGTTTGTGTATTTGTGTATATTTGTGTATATTTATGCATATATTTATGTGGGTATTGCTAGCAACAGAGGCACAGACTGCGATGTTGATCCGAATAATCGCTTCTGCATTGTCGTTGAGGGCACATTTAATGGCACCCGGAAACTGGGTATTACTGGGATCGATTGCATGGTCAATGGGTTTAGGATTGGGGGTTTAGGGTTAGGGTTTAGGGTTTAGTTTTGAAGTCTTTGTTTTTGATTCGACGGACATGGCGAACTTCTCAAACCTCACTTCGAACAATTGTTGTGCATGCAAGATTCATTACACCATTCCTCTTTTTTAATATTTTCTTTATTTATCGTGGTTTTTAAATTCATTTGGCTGTTTATTATTATCAAGTAGGTTTGTCCATTTGATACGATACAGTTGCCGAATTTGATGGAGGTGCTTTTTTTCTGAGTTGGTGTTGATATATTAGCATGCAAATGTATATATATATATATATATATATATTTATATACTTAATTTTTCAATTTAAAGCATTTGTTAATGAATGTGAAACACATACATGTTTTTTCAATATTTTAATATATTCTTGGTTTGAGATGTTTTGTAATAAATGATTGGTATGTTTTCACATTTGGCCAGAATACATATATATATATATATATATATATATATATAATTCAACTAACTCATTTCAATAATAATAATAATTCATAAAAATTGTCATAGCAAACCATTTAAGATACATTTAGAATAACATTCAATATCATATCTTGTGGTAGATGACTTGGGCTTAAGTAATTTAATGATAGATTTCTGTTTTGATTTTGTGAATAATGGAATATAAATAACAGCATTTTATGAGCAAACGTTTAAAATTTGATTTATAAAAAGTTATTAGTAATTTCAGAAAAAGTTAAAATGATGATAAATTTTTACAACAGAAATTTTCAAAGAGAAATGATACACTAATCTGAAGGTTCATATTGCAACATTTCTGCAATATAGGTATTTTTTTCATTACGTTATCAATGTTTCCAAAATGAAATTTTACAAAATAGTAATAATATAAAGAATTAAAAAAATGCAATTGTATGGTTTGCGATTTTACAATATTATACTTTTTGAAGACTTTGTATCATATGCCAATTTTTTACATCCAAAAAATAAGATATAACTCTAAATTTATTCTAGATTATCTAATTTAAAATTGAAACTAAATTTGTATTGTTTATTACTTTTAATTGTTTATCATTGTTATTTGTAAAACAACAAAAGTAAGGATGACATAATGCATATACAAAAACAAATGAAAGCACTAATCAATACCTAAGAAAAAGAAAAAAACTATAAGTATAAAACAACTGACTATCAACAACTACCTTGTTTCATACAAAAGATAATAGAGATAGTAGGAATACTTTCTGTATTACATCAATTTATATTTCAAGATTCATAACACAAAATTATAAGCATAGAGTTCTTAAATTTTAAAAGATAAGTGGAAAATTACAGATTGACCAAAATGATGACATAGTTCTTCTAAGAGCATCAAATCTTATGAATTTGAATTTTTGTGGCCTACTGGAAAGGATCGTAATAATAATAATAACGATAGTAAAAAAAAATTAAACCACTTAACACTTTAATGATATTTACATTAAAATGAAATGAAACAAAATAATCACTGTTGTTATTTGTTATGTGTCAAAATTAGCATACAGAAATATGACATGAATGGACTCGTTCTGGGTGGCTTATAATTCTATCATCCAGTTGCATTTCAAAGAAAGTCCAACATTCAAAGAAGGAAATTAAGGGTGTCAGTAAACACACGCATACATGGATCCTCATTACTCAATAGTCAATCATAACGCCAATACCACCAGAATGTTTATTGGATCGTTTGTCATCTATATACTTGATACTTTACAGAAAGGTAACTGACCAAGACTTGAAATTACCAAACCACTACCTGTGATCAGAAATAATGAGTGTTACCGCTAATCAACTGAGATGAGAAAACATAGATAGCACAAAGCCTAGAATCTCAAATTCTATGTGCTGAATAATCTGGAACAAGCAGGTCAGCTAAGTACACGGATGATCCGTGGATAAGACAGATGAATGACACAATCGACACTAGTAACCAACGGCAATCCTAAGTGCACAATCCCATATTATTCAGCACCCAAACAGTGAAGTGTAGGAATGTCTTTCAGGAAGGTATTCAGTTGATTTCGACACTCAGCAACCATTGCAAGAGACTCTTTAAGAGGCATTTGGCGTGCAGCCATGATAGCTGCCAGGTATTTACGTCTCGCTAGCTCTAGCTCCTCTTTCTCTTCCTTGGACCCTTCTGACCCGCTGCTCACCTGTTCTTCGCCATTCGGGGCTGGCGTGGAGACCAGAAACGTTGTCTTTTGACGTGCTTCTGATGAGATAGAGGAAACCATATCCACCCGGTGCGGTGGACCTTCCCGGGCTGTGTTTAACTGCTGTGAAGGCACATGAACACAATCTATCAACAGAACCCACATATTACTTCACACATGCACGAACATGCAGGAAGACTCCCTATTAAAATTAAATGTGCCAACGTTCGCGTTAAACCACAACGAATGTACCTGTTCTGACTGGCTGGCATCAACGAGTCCAGCAGCTTCAACCGCATCAAGTTGATAGCGTAAAGTCAAAACCTGGCAACGCAAGGTAGTCAATTCTGCTTCCATGCTACTTGCTTTGTGGCTCCTTTTCACTATACCACGCTCTGCTTGCTCCAATAGTAAATTCAACTCTCCAAGCCCTTGCTGCACATCGGTCATCCCTTGTTAAATGAAGTGGAGCACGATGAAAAGAGTAACTCATCCATTCGTTACATGCGAGACTTGTACTGCCTTCGATCCTGAAATCACTACTTCCTTGCGTACTAGTAGCACCACTGTATGTTTTTTATAATCTACAGGCATTGTGAAAGGGCAATACGGTGATACAGCCCACCTTCCATATGTCTACTATATACGCAACAAAGAAAAGCTGCTACAAACCCAGGTCTGACAGTCAGGTTCATGAAAAAGCTCTTGCTCTATTTATAGAAGAATACTACATTACCCAAAAAATATGGAGAGGAGAGCAGTCACGCACCTGATGTTCACGTAGTTCTAGTTGAGCTGATTGGATATAGCTATCTTTTTCAACCAACTTCTGACGTAGCTGATCGATTTGGGCTTGCAAGAGCTTCATGTCCTCATGCTTCTCATCTTTGCTCTGAACTGCACCATTTCCATGAGATGCGTGCTTTCCTGGCTTACTATTACATTCAAATAGTGCTTCCTGTAAGCCATTACCTTCTGTACTCTTAAATTGCGAACTTGATGTCTGGTTCACGGCATCAGTCTGAGAACCCTGTGAACATAGGGTCTGATTGGAGAGCTGGCCAAGTGTCTCCAATAGGCAGTCCTTTTCCCATAACTTCTGCTTCAATTCCTCAATTTCTTCGAGTAAATGGCGTGAGTCCTGGTTGAAGTCTTCTTGAGCCGGGTCCCTATCAATGCGCCGAAGAATGTTCTCGCTTTCCTCCCATGTACACTCCTCTTTAGAATCTTCATGACTCGGTTCAAGCTTTGGGGACATGGGCACCCTTTTTGATTTCAAGGGATTCTCATAAGACTAAGCCAAAACAACAACGAACGTTGTCAGAACCAATGGTTGTAAAAGAAGCACACTCTCTAAAGTATACTAACATACAATTATAATTTGATGCAGCCTACTGTATCAGTGAATCCCAAATCTTGTTCACCGGGAAAACCCTTCAAGCATATGAGATATCTTTACTGTCAGATAATCAGAAGTTCCATAAAAACCAAGTGTTGATCTATAAAAACTCGGATCATTATTCCTACTCAAAAAACGAAAATCCCCTACGTCACATTGAGGCCCGTTTCATCGAATGTTTGGACATGAGATTCAGCATCCAGTTATAACAACGAAAACCAAGTGAAGACGCAACTGCTAACTGCAGCCAAGCAATGGCAATAGTGGCTACTTTTATCAACCACGTGCGTAAATTTGCATTAAACAAGGCAATGAAAGGGTGAAGACCTTGTACAGATATTTAGGGAGAGGTGCAGGTGTGTAGATCATAGAAGCCTGACGGCCAAACATGCTAGTCCGAGATCCCTGCTGCTCCTGAGCACACATGAAAAATTCTCGAAGTAATTGCAGATCACAGGTCAGAGAAATTAAACACCCCCCCCCCCACCCTGCAAAGAACTTGAAATTTCGATTGACAAAAAGTGTAGTCAATACGCTCAAGAATACAGATATGAGAACCATTCTCATGACATTCCCCCAACCCTTCCGTGAGGAAATTTCAAACTGTCACGGCGACAGAATTTTTGGCAATATGCGTTCCTCACATATTGACACGAGCCCATTCCCTCGACACACACTAGCCATTCCAAGTCATCTAGTCCAACACAATGCCAAAGCTATGAAGTTTCCAAATGTCGCCCAAGAGGAGGTCTGCAAAGCCTGCTTCCCATAACAGACCTATCCAAACCCAACTGCACATTCTGCTCTCCCAACAAAGTTCACCTCCCAATGCGGTCAAGGAACACGAAGGTCGTCAACGTGCAGACAAGAAGCGCACCATAAAAGTCTCCATCAGAGGAATCATCTCCACCAAGTTGCGGTACAATGCGGGGTCGACCTCGGGCGATACCCCACTGCTCCCGGCCATCGCCCCCGGTCCACGAAATGATGCCATGACGACCTTGTCAGCGCTCCCACCTGCTCCAAAACGACGCTTACTTCAATCCTCTCTACAGACACCCAACTCTAGTATTCAATCTCGCTGCAAACTGCCCCCCGCATTGCGTTTCTCCGCTCATCTGTCTGCTTTGGCTGGCATTCAAGCACGACACGAATGATCATGCCTGTGCCTCCTGCGTGCAAATCCCAGCTTCAAACTTCGAAAACCCTGCCCCTCCCCCGTTCTCTCACTCTTCCTTCTCCGCTCCTGCTCTCCGAGGTTCCGCTTTCGTTCATCCGCGTCCTTCTTCGTTCTCCTCCGCTCTCCTTCGTCCACTCTGCACACCTTCACCACCCCTTCAAAAAGTTTGAAAGACATGGTTTCCCACCTTTTCTTTTCTTTTTCTTTTCTTCTTCTCTCTTTTGTACTATTTTGAGGTATTTTTTAAAGGATGCACACGCTGCAAAACATGAGCTTAGGAGACAGTACGTATATATATATATATATATAGATATTTTTTACTCTATTAATCTAACGTATGTAAAAGAATTGGCAAGTTAAAAAAGATGTTTGTTGCTTTGCCACCTAGGATTCATTTTTTTTTTAAATGATACCTTTGGTACTCAGAGCATGTACCAATGGATTTCAAGTCATTTAAAACAATAATATTAGTCAGTGATTTCTTTTCTATCGAGTGGTAATTATTTCTAAAATATACTGTTCTTACGTTGAAGTATGTTTTAAAGAATAAGAAAAAAGAAAAAAATATAAATCATTTTACATGCACAAATTGGAATGATTTTTCCTTGAATGTTGAATATTTGCATATGAAGAAATCATTTAATATTTATTTATAAAAATGTTACAAATAGGACATAGTAGAAACAAAAACAATAATAGTGCACACCATGTATACTTTCAAATGTACTTTAAAATTATAGCATACATGTAAAACATAACAAGGAACAAGAAGGAAACATCAAGAATAGAACAAATAATTCATTGAGGCTAATCAAAGTATTCGATTGTTCATGTTATAAAAATTTATTTAAACTTTCTTTGTATAGGTTAATTTTAGGAAGTGATAATACACACACACACACACACACACACATATATATATATATATATATATATCTATATATATACATTTAACCTATGGTTTATTCAATTACTTTCATGTGTCTGTTGTTTTTGCAAGTATACACATACACATCATTTTCTCAATACGACGTGGGTCGCACCATTGTATCTCAAGAGATCCGAACTACATGAAGGGAATACAAATATTTATTCTGCCTACATCAATACCTGCCAATACCTGGACCTGATCATGGGTGTCACATCTTCCGGTTCTGAAATTAGTATTGGAGGTTGGAGCCTAGGGCCAACCTTTCAGAAATTCTGGGGCGCTCTTGCGAGCACCGCAGGGGGGTTGGAAATAGTTTTCAACCAGCAATTGACGCGTCTCGGTTTTACCTCACTAACTGCGTCATTGCCCCAAGCGCAAAGATGAACAGAGGAGACCAGGCGTTTGGGCTATATACCATAGAGTTCACTCCGAGCGCACAAACGCTATGGGATAAATGTTTAGTTTTCTAAAGTTTCTTTCGGCATTTGGAATCCTCTTGGTTGTGCCATGCGCTCTTGCTCTGTCTCTTCGCTTGTTCTGTAAGTTAGACAACCGATGGAGTAACGATGGAGGGGGCTGTGAACAGAGCTCCTCGAGGGTTATGAACCCTATCACATCACCATTTGGTTTGCTGCTCGTGTAGTTTGGAGCATGTTACGTCTATCGATGCAAGTTTTAGTCGACGAGTAGTGCGTGTAAATTGGCGAATGCAAGTTCTGACTTCATGCATGGTTCAGTCGTACTAGTTCTAAAGGTATGGCATAAGATATCACTCCGTGTTGGATTTTTTTGATCGATTCTGCAAGGTGTTGTAGTCTGTCTCTCATGGAGCGAAGCGCGAGAGTGAGTTGAGTGCGGGGAGATTTCTTTTTGATGCGTACTGGAAGAGATAGAAGAATGGTTGTAGCTTGGGGCCATGTTTGAGAGTATGTTGTTGTCGCTGTAGGAGTAGGTTACGCAATTCCTCCATTGTTGGGTGTGTTCTTGTTCCGGATTTTCTTACCCTAGTTTATCCCTCTCCAGCAGGAATGCGGTAATCGAGACGTGTAGTAATAGCAATTGGCAAGTGAAGCTCCCCTTTCGATATGGCGGAATCACATTTGTTTCAGGAATTTAGCACAGCCCGTGCGATCCCGGTGCGCACGGCGATTCTGTTGAAGGACTCTGGTGATCCTACAACGTTCTCCCTGCGACGGTATGCGCTCTGCTCAACGCTTTGCAGCAGCTTTCGTTTTTTTTTTTATGTGACTTTTTAGTTCTGTTATTTTTTTGGAGGAGTTTCAGAAATTTAGAGCTTTTCTGTGCACGCATTATGTCACTGCTGATCAGTGATGAATCCCTGTCGTTGGTTTCACGGCTCGATTTCAATTTAAGCGTTTCATGTCGACGATACATTTGTATTAAGATGTGCAGGGAAGGAGGTCATTCTCGAGCTGTCTGGAATAATATTTTGTCTGCATTCCTTCCCGAGGCAAGTGTACTAGTGTTTTTTAAGTAGTAGCGAGAGCAAATTTTTTAAAATAAATGCAAGTTATGGGGTTTTCAAGCTCAAAAATAATAAAATTTTAAGGCAACTTCTTTTGAAATCAGCTGGAATCACAGAGACCGTGGAAGAACCTCGTGCGTGGTGTGAGCTTGACTCTTTTATGAGGCTATAGATTTTCTATTCTTGTTTCCTGGTCCTCAAAAGTCTCACATGCATGACTGTAGAGCGGGCTAAACGTCCATTGGACTTAATTTGAGTAGAACCGATAGAGTGCTTTGAGAAGTAGCTACTAAATTAAGTCGTTCTCTGTGGTGATTTTAAGAACTACGTGTTCTCAAATACTGCATTGATTCCACATGCCACCCTGCTCTTCTTCTCTTCATCACATGTACCTTGTGAAATTCACATGTCATTGTAGCTCATGAAGTTTAGGCACTTAGTTTATCACTTAATTTGGATCATTTTGAGGTCTTCTTTTTCTACTGCCTATCGCAAATTTGTCACAGTTTGGTCTTACTGCCGGATATGGAAAGGATGTCCTCGCAAATAACACTAAACTACGATAAGTTCTTTCATGAACAGTGGTTTGCATCGCTTTGAGTTTTCTGCCCTGTTAGCGTTGTGTTGCAAGTTTCCTCAACTTCATGAGTGCATGGGTGCAGGGATATCCTAACAGTGTGACACCAGACTACCTTCCATTTCAAACATGGGACACCTTGCAGGTTCTCTTTACAAAACCCACACAGACGCGGAGAGTGCAGTGAAATCATGTCAAACTGCATTTATTCGAAGATTTGGTATTTGTACACGGTGATAGCTTTGGAAATTTCAGTTTTCGAGATTCCGGCACCTCCTCATCAATCTGCTCTGTATTTGAACCACAGGGCTTGTCTACGTACATCCGCAGCATGCTTTCCACGCAAGTAAGACATGAATACCATATATGAATTAAGATTTCAAATTAGCCCTTCTCCTTCGAAATGTAAGCCTAAGTCCCGCATTCAGAATCTAGAGTAGGAATCTTCATTAAAATGCTCGCGTCTGTACCTTAGGCTCAATGCTAGGCAAGTTACATGTGATGATAGTTCTACATGAACTTGGAGTACATATACATGAGCAAGAGTTTGATTTTATGATATGCACAACAGGCACTCTTGGGCGGTATTGGAGTAGGTGAAACAACTGCCACGGTAGTGGGTGCCACTTTCCTGGTGAGCTGTGATCTTACCTTGTGCTAATAGTGCATTGTTTTCAATACTCTGTGATTTCAATATGTAATAAATTATTCTTTGGATTTTTTTAAAGTGATTGATGATAGAAAATGTGAAAAATGATCCCTTCTGTTTTTTTTTCTGTGACTCTGACAGTGGTTTATGCGGGATTTCACTGGCATGTTGGGGAGTATTCTGTTCACACTTCATCAAGTACGCTGCAACTTGAAAAATTAAGAACTGAACATTGGCGTATGCTTCACAATTGATGTCTTATGGCATTTTAATCAAGTAAACAGTCGTTATCGCACTGATAGTTTTCTTGTAGTCGAAGTACCAAGCTTTATCGAATATTGGACGATGGTTTGCACGTGCAGGGATCGAACTTGGACAGTAGTGCCAAGCAATGGCGCCTAACAGCAGATTTGCTGAATGATGTCGGTAAATTTAGTCCTTCTTTGGTTTATATGTTTTTTTATTCACTGCCGTGTCTTTCTTGTTGTGGCCTACCATGGTTTATCATATTCTGGAATGGACCTGCTCGTAACAGAAACCGGCAACCTCCCATGAGGATTCATCTAGCATTTCCACCTTACAGCTAACTCAACTCTTATGTGCAGGGATGTTGATGGACCTTGTTTCTCCACTCTTTCCTGGTGCCTTCGTGACGATATTGTGCATTGGTAGTATGGCCAGATCTGTTAGTAAGATTACCAAACCCCTAACATAATGTGATTTTAAGCGCGCTTTAGGGGCATTCTTTTGAGCTTCTTCATGAATGTTACGAGCTTTTATTCATGAGTAGGTTGCATGAAACCTAGCTCTGAAATTGCAGAACTGGAAATGCCAATGCAGCGGGCGTTGCAAGTGGAGCAACACGGGCTGCCTTGACACAGCACTTCGCCCTTCGGAAGAATGCCGCAGATGTTTCTGCCAAGGTACTTCTTTAGTAACTTACAATCTTTATTCGTGTGAAACGTTCTTGTTTACCTATTCATGTTAGAGGTTAGCATATGATAGCTTTTCTAAATTTTTATCAATTAACATGCGATATTCTGTTTTAGTTGTTACGATCTAGTGTTTGTTATGAAGTCAACGCTAGGACCTAGGACATTCACTTAAAGAATACCCAATTGTCGTTGCATGATTGGGAGAGTCAGGAAGGAGTATAATACCAGCTATCTTAATGATATTGTGCTACTGGCTCAGGTTATAATATTCGATTCTTTTGCAGGAGGGTAGCCAGGAAACTGCTGCAACCATGGTTGGAATGCTACTAGGCATGGTCTTAGCACGATTGACAGCAGAAAATGTGGTTGCCCTTTGGGTTTCCTTTCTCCTCCTGACGGCTTTCCATATGTATGGTGAGTTTCTTTGTAAAGGCTTTATTGCAACCATGCAACTAAGTCCCAGTGCTACAACTTGTAACACTAGATTAGGAGTTTTTGTTTGTAGTGATTTATCATTCGAATGATCTAAGCTTTTTTTTTAATCCTTGCATCCCTACTTCATATGGTTCCTTACATATATGAAAGTGTGATGACGATGGTTTTATTTCTACATCTCTTGATGTTTTTTAACACCTTGAAGTCAATTTTGGGTGGTAATGAAATGATCAGCAAATTACAGGGCAGTTCGGTCCCTTTGTCTGACCAGCTTAAACGCTGAAAGAACTTCTATTGTTTTGAGCGCTTTCAAGGAAGGCAGAAAAGGTATTTGATATGTTCCAACACAATCCCCGTAATATTTGCTCTTCTTATGTTTGAGAAACTTTCAAGAATCAAATCGTAGTCAACATAAGACCTCTTAAGCAGTCATGCACTAATTTAATGCTCACGTCTTCTCTTGTTGTAGAGGGGGAACTCGCAAGTTTGTGAAATTCTACTTGAATGTCTCTTGAACTGCAAGTGCATGCACTTCCTTTGCCACCTCCAATTCATGCATTGGGTTGGTGTCTAAATGTGCAGTTCCAACTCCTAGAGAAGTTGCAGACCAAGAACATCTGCTTCCACGAATTCCTAGGCTTCCGTGGCAGAAACAACGTGCTGGAGATGCTTGGTTGCCAAAATCCATACGTTTTGGTGTTCAAATCTCCTCTCTGAAGTTGGATGATGGGTTTGTGGCGAACTCATACCCAAGACTGCTTCCTAACCTTCTGTCTGTATGGTTAACACTGGTTTTGAAACCGTGGTCCCATGCAATTCTTCATTTTGTCATTTGGACCTAAGTCGTTCAATGGTTGGACTTTTGCAGCTGGAAAAGTTTTCTATCATTGGTGGAGCGGTATTCAAGAGGTTAAGTTATTGAGTGACACCTGCAGAACAGTATGTTTCAAGGAAATGGCGAAAGATATTAACCCTTGTGTTGGTTAGCTCATGGATCGAGGGACTGTACGTCTTTGTCGTGTGGTGAGATGTATGTTGCACGCAGGTCGGATAGTGAAACTCTTCCTTATCTGAAGACGTGCATGTTCCTGTGATAGCAGATCCATACCTGATGGTTCCAAAAGGTGCAATTGTCCACGTTGTTCTGCACAAACTGGCAACTCCACAGGATTTCCTGCACGGCTATGTGCACGCCCTTTGTCTAGCCGATCTTCAATTGCGATCACCAGCCGATCAATCGGAGGAACTAGCTATCTCGTGGATGAAGAATAACTACACTGCATTCCTGGACTCTGTAAGCTAATTTATCTTCCTCAGAGTCCAGTGTCTTCCATAGGACTCCGATTGCTAAATTTCAACATTGGCTGGGTTCAGAGCCGCGCAGGGATTTGATGGAATTTCTAGATGAAAAGCAATATAGAACCTGAATGAGGATGTGGCAGCGCCAAATGTGCATCGCAAGGCGAATTCGAATTGCCATAGACTGCTAAAAAAATCTATTAAGAAAGCACCTAACCTCATCAACAGACTTTTTAGCAGCTTAAGAGCTCCCTTAAAGTGTATTTAAAATGCTTGATGTTGCCTTCTTCACCAGGGATTCAAGCAACCATGATTTTCGCTCTGACTCTCCTGTATTATATGCGACATTAATTAGAAAAAGCTCTTGTTTGGCAGCTTGGAAAGTCAGGTTGGGCTACAGACCGTATTCTGGTGGAAACAGGTGAATGGCGGGCAGAATGGATCACCGGGCAGAAGCAGGAGTAACTGTCCACAGAGCTGCACCTAATGGTATCCTCGCTAACAGGACATGGAGTTAGCAGACATCCTCTTTTCCATTTAGAAGAAAACGTGCAGGTTTTCTCATTTCTGACATTGCAACCACACTCCAGTAATTTGTGAAGTTTCTGAGGTGGAGCAGTTATGAAGTTCTAGTTGTACACACATTGTGTTTCTTATTTGCATGTTGTCCATTCTCTCAAGAAGTACAGATAAATCACAGATGCGTGAGGTGAATGAGAATCTATCAATTTCAAAGCATATTATATGTTCAACCCAGCAGGGCATGAATCATGATCACGATCATTAATGCCATTCAGTTCAACTTTAGTACTAGCCATCTCCCCTTGCTCACATACTGTCAAGCGCATTCTTAATCGGTTTGTGCCGAGTTGAGATTAATCCTTAACTATCCTAACTATGACATTCATTCCAACTAGTAGAACCCTCTAATATTGTATCTGTGGGTGTCAACCTTCCATAGCTCATTTTGATATGTGGGTATAAACTGTGTGAAAGAAACACCAACGGTTTCGTATAACAAAAAAGGTTTGCCTAACAGTTCGTCAATACGTTGGAAATTCAAGTTTACAATGGACTACTGTCCGGAGTTAGTTCGAAAAGTATTTGTTTATCATTAAATTGGTATTTCTGTCACATATTTCCAGACGACTTTTATAACCTTGTACTTCTATAATGTATGTATCATTACCTGTTCGTTTGGCAACATGTCCCAATGTTTCTCTCTGGCTTTCTCTTCATGGGTTTGAGTTTCAATCGCTCCCGATTCTGGGTTAAGTACGGCTTTTATCGAAGAGCCTCATGGCTCTGGGGTTCTGCTTCCGGTTCAAGGTACATAATTGTGTCTTCCTCATATTGCTGTGCCATCCTGCTTCAGAAGAACTACAGACGCCTTTCTCTCTCTTGTCTTCATTACCCAATAGTAACAGATTTCGGAGTTGAAGTAGGAGCTTCGTCTTAATAGGACGTCGCAAGAACTGGCAGTTTGGGTGGATCAAACTTAGTAAGGCACATTTCACGAAAAGTGCATGCAATGTTGGCATAATTTGCATGAAGTAGCCACGTTGAGAAGATTAGAGGAAGGTCTAAGTAAAGGTGGTGAATTGGGTCTTACGGATTTGTAAGAATTACGCCAGAGCTTGCTGCGTTCGTGAAGCACCCAACCGGAGGAGTGGAGACGGCATCAAAATGAGTCCAAATCCTCACGCAACTCAAACAAGCTGAGCTGATCCAGCATAAACCCAGTGATGGTCTGCACGTCTTTGTACTGTTGCTGTACACGCTCAATAATTTCCTTCACGCTGTTTGCATCCGTTATCACATTGCTGGATTGCAGGGGTTTTACAAAGCTTGGTTGCATGAAGTAATGCTCCAACCTCATGTACTCTTCTCCCATCCCTTTGCCGAACACCTCGTCCACGCACGCAACCGCGAGCTCGTATTTCACATGCAAAGTCGGCAACTGTGGCGCCCCTGCTCTGTCCAGTTTCTTCAAAATCCGTGCCACTTCGGCCTTGAAATCATTGTGCTTACACTCCTCGACAGTGTACATGCGACCTTCTTCGAACGCTTCCCTGTATTTGGAATTCAAAAGGTATGACATCCTCTGTTGAATTGTCACTGAGCATTTGCATTCTTGATGCCAGAGCTTGCTTATGAACTTCAAATCCGATGCCTTCTGGTTCTCGTCTGCCGGCAGTTTGTGCAGCTGAACCTTTCTCTGTGAATCTCTTTCTGAAAGATCTTCAGAGCTTTGGGGCCTGTCCTGATCTGGTGTCGATATTTCAAACTTATTTATCCTAGTATCTTTAGAGTCTTGCGAATGGTGATGCGTCTGTTTTGCTAACGGTTGCAATTTTTCAGAGAATGATGTTAGCGGACACTCGCCGAACTTCGTTGGATTGTGTCTCTTTTCAGGAGACCTTGTGACAAGCACCTCTCGGTGATGGTCCTTCGCAAAGGGCTTCGACGTCAATGCAGATTTCGGTCGAGCTGAACCGTTCGCCGAAGATGCCGTGAGAGAATTTCTCGATGATGGGTCAAATTCCCTTGAGCCTGCTTCTTGCTTGCTGAATTTGGGTAAGTTGGGTGTTCGATGTCTGATATTCATGCTTTTCGGCGGCATCATGAAAATCTGGCTCGCTTGCCTTGATCTCCCTTCAGCCAACTTGCGCTGGAGCATGTGGGATGGAGAGATGTATTCCATTAGGTAGTTATCAGAAGAGTCGTTAGCTTTGTACATGGGTGTACGAATGATAGCACGCGGAATTTCGGTCCCAGCTCCAGCGCGAGGCTCAAGGGCCTGAAGTTGTTGCGCATAATTCAGGACAAAGCCATGGGATTGCGGTGTCGTTAGCCTCGGCACTGTCATGCGTGTAGCAGACAGATAATGCCGCATTCTTCTCAAAGCCGTTAGCAATGCTCTACTCTGATGTCTCGTTCCATAGTGTGTCCCTTCTGAAGAAATAGCTTCAGATGAAATGTTACGAACAGGTTCTGAACGCGTGATATACCTCGTACCATTGAAAGTGTAATCAATGGATGCAGTCCGAAATGTTAAGCTTGTTCTTTATCTACAATTCCCCTAAAACAATATTGAACAGCAGGTGAAAGTGACGCTTCAGATGAGTCAAAAGGAAAGGCGAATCGAGAAGTAACACAGATGCGCATTAACCAGTCGTTCACAGGAGTAGAATGAGTAGGAGCCACACGAAGCGAAGTTTGATAGCATGCGTTGGATTTGTCACTTCCTCTCTTCAGCGAGTACCAGTGACGTTAGATTTGAAAGGAACAAAAAGAGGAAGAATCCAATAGTTCCACCGTCCCACATCTCTCCAGCAAGGTGTGAGTTTTGTATCTTGCCTCATCGACAGTATTCTAATTTTAACTATACTCCCAACATACTGCCGTCCATCCCTGACAATTGTTAGTAACCAACATAGTTAAAGCGATTAGTCTCGCGCTATGATAAAGGAATATGCACGCTATAAAGAAAAGTTAAACGACACAACAGGTTTCCTCTACATTCGTAAAGAAGATAAGTTGAATACATACAGATACTCAAAAGTATGATCAAAAGCACCACTTTCCTATTAAGCTCCACTTGCACAAGTTCGATTACAATGAGATGTGTATGTAGCCAAAACCCGAAGTATTGGGTTTCAAAAGTATTGAGTATCTACAATTCAACTGAAAACACCCTCTTCATAACATGTACGTAATGAATCGCCTCTGTGGGATTCCCGTATCAGGATAGAAGTTTATGCGAAAAGGCACCGTTGAGATTCTCTGTTAGAAAGCGTACTGAACAACTTCATCTTTAGACAGTTTCCGCGTTTTGTGTTGCCAATGACAGGTCTGATTTGTCGAGATGAGGCTTGAGAAAGAGATTGATATATTCCTTCCTGAGGTAGATACACAGAAAAAAATCAATAATCATAGAATGACGGCGGCAGAGAACTGCACCACCTACACGAAACTGCAAAAGTTCTGCTTAATATTGAGTTGCATGCTAGGGTCAGGATGTAGTTCAGCTAGTAATTACGAATTTGGCGTGTGATTAGAGCTCCATCTTGGACTAGAAAACTCACCTAACGGGATGCTCATCTTGAGGTCGGTTATATGGGGTCCAGATTGGTTCACCTACAAACAGCCTCATTGCCTGCAACAAATGCAACAATTCGAGAGAGGTTTCAGAGCCTCGACCGAGCTGAGCAAGTTCAGCATCAAATGATGAGAATTCAGTAATGCCTAACGTGACAATTTAGAAGGAATAAAACCCCGAACAGATAAATGCATAAACCTTGAGATAATTGTTCGCGTCCAGAGAGAACCGATGGTAACATCCTGCGGGCAACACAATCATGTCTCCTTTATGCACCCATATTCGAATCCAACGGTCTTCTGGGTCGCGAACATCAAAGTAGCCTGTAAAATAACTTCAGGTATAAGTGTCCAATTTACAACGTCAGCCATTGGTGCAGATTAGAGTAATACAGAATGCCCGATTCTTCGAAAATTCATTCTATTACAAGAGAAGACTAACCCGGTTTTATTGAAACATTAAAACGGAGGGCATATCGAGCAAATAAGGTAGCAAAGTAACGATCCTAAAGCACTCACCACTGCCATCCAGGCAATAACGGATCTCTTCATCCGTATGAATGTGCTCCTCATAGAAGTTTTTTATTTTCGTCTCATAATTGGGTAACGCTTCAGGAGACACATCCACAAAATCCTCATAACTATACCCTCTTTCTTTCCGGATGTGTTTCAGGTCAGGATCCGTTTCATAATTATCAGCATCAAGAACCCAATGTAAAATACCAAGCTCTGTAAAAATAAAAAAAACAAATCAAAACATTCTGACGAGTGTTAAGTAAGAAGTTGAGTACATAGCATTCCAACCAAGCTCTATAAGGTGTGGCCGAATTTCTTGGTGTAAAGGCAGTAAAGACAACTATTCACACACTTACAATTGATTGTGATGTTCATCTTCCTTCAAATAGAAAAAAGACATTACAACACTATGAATTGGCGTGTACTTCAATGAAGTAAAGTCTGTCGTTAAGGTACCTGCAAGCTTTTTCAAAGAAACATACTCAGGTGGGTTGCGATGGTGAGGCATTCGTTGGTCTTCCGCTGAATCATCCATGTACCAAGCCTCCATGAGCGGTCTCTGCACCTAAAGAAACCAATTTCCTCTTCGTGAACACCTTATACCATTCTATGCCATCCTGACTTTAATGACTTTAACATCAGTCAAATCTGTAAGACTCAATAAGAGGAACTGGTAGCTAAAGAAAAACCCTAGCTCATATCCGAGTACACAAATGTGACTCATAGACGAAAGAGTTGCACTCACACGCACACCAAACGTTTATAGCTTATCGTAAGCACCAGAATCGATCCTTTTGGAGAGACTCAAAATTGATAAGCAGGCGTCAGATTTGATCGTCACGATTCAAAAGAAACATAGAAACTTAAAGAAGAAAAATTACAACGACAATTATAAAATCTCTGTAGACAAGTGAGAGATAATATGGCACTGCATCGTACCACAAATATTACAGCAGAAGATGTTAAAAGCCATCCACCTATTGTTACAAGCACTATGACATGAAATTCCTCCCCCACGTCTCTAAGTCATCAACTAACCAAAACTCTAAGTTGCCAGATTTTACGTTGACGAGCCCAAAAAAAATTCTTCCCAACAGAGAGCCTTAGGGTTAGCAATAACTGCAGCACTCCAAGGTCTAGGAATCTCAACCGAGTAATCTCATCACAGAACCACCACAAGAGCCAAAACCACTGCACTGCAACACCCACAACCGCAATCACACTACAATCACGCACGAACACCTCAGCTCTGTCGCGGAGAAACAAACCTCCAAACCCATGGCGCGAACCCCGTCAAAGCTCCTCCCCAATGTGAGAAATCGACTGCCCTCTTAGCACCCGAGCTTCCGGAGAGCTCAACAACCTGAACGCTGTCGGCCTGGCTCCCGCTGTCCTCCCTACTCCAACAACTCAACCACTCGATGTCAACGGACTATGAGATTCAGGACGGCGGTACAGGTGGTTTGTTCTAATCTTAAACAAAGAAGAAAACGAGGATCCTGGGTGCGATTACGATCTTGAGCTGTCGACAGACGAGCAGTGCAACGTAAATCCGTGTCGAGAGATCTCTTCGTGTACCGAAGGACCCACAAATTCATGGATTTCGGCGACCTGAGCAGCCGCCTCTCCTTCGCATCCCACGCCGGCATCCTCGCCCGAAGATTCCTCGAATATTACGTTCGATAAGTGGCTGAAAACAGAAGCATTCATCACTGTTTCTGTACATTTCGCTGTTTCACGAGGTGATGAAAAGTGCCTTTTCTTGTTTTACGTTGTTTGTTGGGTTGAATGATGCTTGAATGAGCATGAATTTTCCAAATTGGGGTAGCATGACTATGTGAAAGGAAAGTGGAGTTGTTGTGATAGTATGGTTTTGTGTACATTGGAAAAGTAGAGGTTTAGTATTTTAAAATTTTTGGGTTTTATTTTGTTGGCATGTTAATCAGAAAATAGTTTAAATAATTGATCTTGAAAGAAATCATGGTTGATATTTGCATATATAAGTATAAAGTACATTCAAACGTACTCTGAAAAAGGGAGTCAAAACAATACCTTTCCCACGGAACTCACTAAAACTGAAGAGAATGTGAAAGTCGGACCATGCGAGCCCTTCCAAGGTTGGATCTTTCCTCAGATTGATGTGCACATAATAAAGAAGACCCATGTTGAACTCCCTTAAAACCGGAGCTTGTCCGCATGAGGAATGTATGCAGCAATACTAACAAAACATGAAGTGGGTGAGCCTACAGACTTAACAGCGTTTTCAGAGATTCATAACTTGAGCAGTAGCAGTTTTGTTAAAAGCGAAGCAAAGAATGGAAAAGCTTGACTTTGGAACACAAGGCTTAATGTTTCCTCAGCTAGAGTTGTCGCAGCATCTCCTGTGTTCTTTCTGAGCTCTGATCCACTTTTACACAATGCTCAGAAGACTCATAAGTCGCCCAGAAGATACTTTCACAATGGCTATGATCATCGATGATAGTTTACGCAGCAAGCAATTGACAACAGATAGATTAATCAGTTGAGTAATAAAAGCAGATATTAGTTAGATAGAACAGAATTCAAGTCTCAGCTACGACGAGATCAGATGGAGGATGCTAGTATTATCCGTCTACTTCGAGCTCCGAATCACCCGAATCGATGACACAACTGGGAGCTCGACCGATGCTCAAATGTGGCATTGAAAATCATTGTAACTGAGCGCTTGTCAAGTCGGTTCGTGATTTCTAGAACCTGATTCCTAATTGGTTTCGATTGTTTCCGTTGTGTACAATCGTGAGATTGCACCTGCAGCCCCGACTTTCAGTGCACCTACAATCCTGCTGCACTATCTGAAATCTACCCACAACACTACGCCTTCAACCGATGCTCGAAAGTGGCATTGAAGATCGGCAGGTAGACAACAATCAACACACAACGATATTTGTTGGTGGTTAAGGGCATATCGAGTCAAAGCTGAAGATGATCCGAATTTCGTCTGCTACGTCTGTTGACGTGAAAAAAATCAATCATGCCTAAAAACTTCTTTGTGCTTATCGAATCTCAACAGATCAATGTTTTGTTTCCAAATTTTGACAAAACTGTCGTTGAATCAGAGCCTGAAATTCGATAGCAGACTGATCTGCCATGCCATCTCAATCTGGATCAATGTTCAAGGATTTATTGCAAACAACTATTCTTACTTTCAAGATTCTCATGTACAGGGTCTATTAGCAAGGTATCCCACAGCAATGGGCATCACAATTTGCTTTTCATAAATTTGTAGCTAAGAAATTTAAAACTGAAGTCAACTCAAACGTCTCTTTTAGAAGCAAGATTCTTAATTCAAGAACAGCACTCAATTGTCAAAGTATGAGCAAAAGTCGCATCCTCACGTCCTACGGGAACTCGCCAATGACAAGCAAAAGGACTTGGCCAGGCGTTGCATTTGATGGATTAGATCAACTAATAGACGTTAATAGTTAAATCAGCTAATAGTCGAGTCCGAGCAATAATCGAGACAACGAACTTAACAAGTTACAGTAACACCAGAGTCAAAGCTTTTACTGACGCTGGCTAATTAAAAGATGTGAGAAGTGCAGTATCAGTAGATCAATGAATCCATTACTTCAGTAAAATCAATGAAAAGAATCGAGATGCGTAGTAAGACCTTGTGAAACAAAGAAAGAGCAAAACTCACACCATACTCTGAAATCGACCCTGGTACTCCACAAAAAAATTCGGGGTGTAGAATTGATAGCATCCCAGCAATCCTGCACACTTTTACGCCTAGAACACCTAGTTGGATACATGGTGGCCCTAACCAGCCCCCCACACAACTTCTAAAGATGGAAAGAAGACTGGATGGAGACCAAACAGGAGAGCAAGCACGTGATCTTGAATTATTACCATAGCATCCAGACCAATTAATGAACAACTCATGCATCCATTTCAGAGCATTGTGCCACCACAGCCGTAGATCGTTGCTGACTAGTAGGCAAGTTGCCAAGGTGGACTTCACTACAAGCAACCTGGACCATCAATGCTAACGCAACTAGAATATATCAAACATGCTGCAATGTCAATTATATTGAATCCTCCCACAGGTGTACAAAGACTGAACCTGCGAGTGGGAAGAAACTGAAATTGTGACGGAGAGCCACTTGACCCAAAAAACTGAATTGGAATATAAATGTTTTCCCAAAAACTGAAGGCACACATTTCAATTTCGATTTTGATGAAGACCACAGCATAGATGATAAACCATGCCTGCATTTCCAGATCCCCCTTCGAATTGTCCTCAACACTTGTCTTGAGACGTCACGTGGGTCAGCATCTAAACTTGAGCCTGTGAATACTTAAAATTGGACTCTATTGTTACTGAAACCCAGGAACCCCTCAATCTATCTAATCCTCATGCCCTGCCATGAAGTGCCATGTCGTGTTTATTCCTCTTAGACTCCAAATTACAACCACCAGGATGAAAATGTCAACACTGGGTACTTAATGCTCATCGAGCTGGGCAACTTCAGCCTTGAGCTGCTCCATTTTCATGCCCATGGACCGCTGCAAAGCTCCGCGTTCTGACTCTGGCAGCCGAGCAAGCAAACTATTGAACATACCAAGCACCTCGTTTACTGCCTTCTTTGCTGTCTCGGCTTCCTCGTTGAAGTACACAGTTTCTTTGGACTCAGAGGCCAGCTCAATCTCTTCCCGTGCATCAGCAAACTTGGAGTTGATATCATCAATGATCTCATTAATTTCCTCCTGCTTCAGCGGAGCAGACGCGAAGCTCCGTGATGGCAATCTGTGCGGAATGTGACGCAAGTAGAATGACGACAGCAAACCTTCAGATTTTGAGCAGCCATTCGAACCAGCACTACTACACTCATGATGCTTTCGTAATGCCCCCTGATTTGCCCATGAAAAAAATGATGAAACGAAAATTGGTCTAGTTTCTCTAACCCTACCTAAACCCTGACTCCTAGCTAGTGAAAGGAGAAGCCGAGTCGGAGCCATGCTCGATTCCTAAACCCTAAGCAAAAACTTTGCTGCCCACCGATATTACAGTGCCAATTCTGATGTCACTTTCCCCTGCAAGCTCAAAAAAGAATTTCAAGAGTCACCATTTCGGTATTATATTTCCCAAAAAACGAGTGAAGTAAGACAATTCGTTGTATTGAAAGCAGAAACATCTGAATTTGCACTTGTTAAACCCAAAACACGACCTATAGAAATCTTTACAACCCTCTCCGAAATCAGAAGCTCTAGATTGAACATTGCTCCAACCTTTCAAGTGGAAAAAAAATAAAGAAAATGATACTTTCATGACGAAAAATTTCGTTCTCACCCGTGCAAACCGATGTGACGAAAAGCGCCTACAATTTACGAACGATCCAAAACAACTGCGAACCGCTGCAAGGAAATTCTAGAACGATGATTCGAAGAGCTAGCAAAGGCTTTGCGTACACAACCCGTGTTGCAGAGAAAACTGTATGAGAGTGACTCGTTGTGCCACATACCCTAAACGCATGGTCCCAATCTAGACGACGACAGTTCTGGCTGGAAATTGGGTCCTGTCTCTACGTCTGTGTCAACTTCACTGCGTCGTTTGGCGAGTAAAAAGGACGCTGACATGGTAGCAAGGGAGGTCCCGTTGTTAAAATCGAAGAATCAATTTATTCCTTGTAATCAATTCTTTGCTAGTGTGAACCCGACAAATTTCCAGCAGTGGAAGATGAGTTGCTCCCTTCTGATCCAATTTCAGTAGAAAAAAACATGACGAACGCTCTTCGTTTTTGGTAGAGAAAACATGTGCATATGTTTGTGGGGTAGGTTTCATTGGACTGATGTTGTGATTACAGCTGTTTAACAAATTTAGAAAAACACTAACTGTAAGCACTTACCATGGACAAAGTGGTGAGATAGACCGTTTCCCTCTTTCACAGATGAAGGATATGATTAATTAAAATCACTTCTTGATTGAAGTAGAATTAGTCCCTAGTTGACTTGCTCGAACGTTTCATAACAGCAATAACTTGAAGAAGCAGAAACAGTTAAGTCACGAAATTCTTGAAACACAATTTTATTGAAGAATTTTTATAAGATAAAAATAAAAAAAAATGGTAGTAACACCAGAATGATAACACTAAAGTTGGACCAGTCTGTGTGGTATCTGCGTGGTATCTGCCACTTTTAGAGTACCCAACTAGTATATTTATATTCACAGTAGAAGTCGGCAATTTACAGATTTCCAGAAGTTCTAAATCAATCAAACGATTGAAGGGTGGTAGGAAGAGCACACCCAGTCCATGGCCTAGTAACCTGCCAGCAGATGGAACTCCCCGTTGCGTACCTAATAGCTTGTAGATTGAACCTGGAGAATAGTGGCTCTCATTCAATTTACCGAAGATAATAAACAAAGGTGGATTCAGCAGGATTGCCTCCAGCTTAACATTGAGCTTAAGCTGCAGCATGATATTTGCCAACACACAAAATGATTTTTTAAGAAAAGTTGCTGAAACGGTTTTTTTTTTTTTTTTTTTTTTTTTTTTTTTAAACCATGCTTTCCTCATGATAGAGTTGCTTCATCCGACGTAGACACGGTCATCTGCAGCATGCACTAGCAGTGTCTCGTCTACGGGCGCTCGGAAGTTCCTTCGCTGCTTGTAGACAAACTGTGACCCAGCCCACAGAAGGAGCAGCATGGCTACTACACAGCCAGCCGCGAAGAAGAAGAATTCATTGGCTTTTGAGAGGCTGTTGCCAATAATAGCCACTAGAGCCACAGTCACAAGGTTTCCTGCACCATCGACAGAGGAAAAAAACAGTCCTCAACTTGAACAATGAAGTAACGATGAGAAGGTTTAGGAAGAACTCGTACAAATTACCAGGACAGGAAAAATCTAAGTTACTTCTGAGTTCCCTGAGCTCCGAATTAGTACTAAGTTGTATGACGTGAGACATCAACCTTGGCTAAAGTTTATTTGCAATGAATTCAATAGGAGCTTTAGGACAGTTTACCTGCAGAGACAGTGAAGAGCCATGCAGATTGGACGACAGCTTTCATGGAATCCGGGGCTTGGGAGTAAGCAAATTCCAAGCCAGTGATGCTTAACATAATCTCCCCAGCTGTGATCACCACATACTGAGGAATCTGCCACAAAATTGACAAGGATTCTCCCAACGATGCATAATTGTCGATTGCAACCTGCAACAGCCCAGAGAACAAGAATGCAATCGCACTCAACACCATGCCAATGACCATTCTTGGAACAGCCCGCAGCGAGTAGCGGTAATACTCCAGAGATGGGTAGATGATCTGGTCGAACAGGGGAATCATCACCAGGATGAGAACAGGGTTGAGAGCCTGCATGTTTACACAAAACCAATCTAACCAATAAGATGCGAATGCAATCTACATTCCAACAGAAAGCACTTTTTTCTTTTTCTTTTTTCCTTTCATTCTATCGCACCAACTTCGTGCAAGAAAATCAATCACGACTGATGACAATTACTTTATACAGGAAAGTGGTTTCAATTTTTATGAATTTATGAACCTGCATCTGATCAGGCTGGATGGTGATGTTGAACAGCCATGGAACGCGGCCGTCCATAGCGCTAGCTTGAAAGACCCACTTGGAGGACTGTTGATCAAAGAGAGACCAGAAGAGGGGGGTTGGCAGGAGCAATGCCAACACACGCATGAGCCCCTTCACATCCTCCACAACGGCTGGGTCATGCTTGGCTTTGGCACTGTCTAGCCAATGGCTGCCTCCTCCCGTGCTCCTGCGAAGCTTGACGGCGTCCACAACAACCCCACCCACCTCGGCAAAGACATTGCCTTCGGGAGGACGGTCCACGTATGTCTTCCGTCCCAACCAGAAGATAAGCAAGGCACACATCATGAGACCAGCAGGGACAGCGAAGGCAATAGCGTAGGAGAAATCTGACCGGAGAATTGGGGTCAGGATGGTGGAGAGTACTGACCCCGCGTTCACTGCAAAGTAATACATGAAGAAGAATTGGCGATGGAGACGCTCCTTTGTTGGGCCGGCTGGTAGAGAATACTGAATTTGGTCGCCACCAAAGGCCGCCACGCAGGGTTTTATTCCACCTGTACCAAATGCAATCAACCCCAAGGCACCTGCGGTGGACCAAAATATAGCGCTCACAGTGCTGGGGTCGGCCTTGGCCAATGCGGAGGTTGCCATCAGCCAGTTTCCGATGCAGTACAGAATTGATAAGTAGATCACAGTGCAATACTTTCCCTGAACAGGTTGAATGAACTCTTAGCTGCTATACGAATGAGCTATGATCTCGTCTGAAGAAATTCATCATAAATGAAAGAGAATGTGAAGAGTGTACCCAGTAGCAATCGCTGACGAAGGCACCCAGGAGCGGGGTGGCGTAGCAGGCGACAATGAAGAGGTGCACAAGCTCTGTGGACTAATTCTCACTCAGCCGAAGATGCTGTACCAGGTACAGCGCAAGGATCGTTTTAATGCCATAGAAAGAGAATCGCTCACAAAACTCATTCCACACCAGGTACTTGATACTACCCGGAAACGACGAGAAATAGCCCTCTACAGCAGACTTTGAACCCCCACTCAAAAGCTGAGAATTCTCGGTCAACTCGTCCACCACAATGTAGTCGCCACCTCGCTCTTCTGCATAGTCCCCCATCACGACGACCAAACCTCGCAAAACCTATATATTCTCCTCTAAACCCAAATGCTGGTAGCTCTACCCTGCACTTACCAAAATTATAAAAGATTCGCACATCACAATCTCAAAGCACCATCACAACTCAGCGGATTTGACCTCACTGAGTCGGCTAAAGTTCACATACCCTTGTAATTGTATTTGCACATAATTTTCCCAGCTATCTAACACAAGTATGATCTTTCTCAGGTGTGTGTCTGATTTAAAACCAAGCGTATTCTACTCCAGCATTGTCTTGGATCATACAACCTTCCAATTCTACATCCAAACCCTAACCCTATCTTGGAAGAGCACCCCAAATTGCCAACTACAAATAAAATCTGGTAAGAAGTGCAATATAAAACACAAATACCCCTCTCAAGTCGAAAGCTTCGTGACGTCTCACTATTCAGCAACATTATTGTGCACTCCCTAACCACGGGAGCTCAGCGTCAATTCAACTCCGGCAAGAGAAGACGTAGCAGGTCAAGGTCTTGTGCAGCCGCTGTATCCTTCACAGCATGACCGATAATAAGCTACATATTTGCCACCGATGCAATGGCAATGACTTCCAGCTCAGGCGAACAATTCGTTACAAACGCCAATGCTCCTCAAAGCTAGGATAAGCACAAGACTGTAGCATCTGACATCCTGTCTGATTAAGCAGCAAAGCGTCAGTCAGCTCTCCTCACACTGGGCCCATCTTTGCTCCCTTTTATTCTTTTTTTCTTTGACATGTGCTAGGTTCATCTTTACTCTTCACTCACCACATACCATGACTTAATTAAGGGTCATCGTCCTCCGCCAGATAGGTGAAGAAGAATCACCATTGTCTTTATAAAATGCAGTAATGTGAATATCTGGAAGCTAAGAGGTATCCTAAGTTTGTATATTCTGGACAAGGAATAACAAAGCAAATGATTAAATTCCATAATTGAACGAAAGAGGAAACAATAACTGCAAATGTTTCTTTGTCATCAGCTATTTTGAAAGTACTCTTGAAATGAAAATTTCAGTAGATATTCACTAGAAGGAGGTGTTTTTCGATATGTTTTTCCGTGACATTACCATTGTCTGATAACACTAGTCTTGCCCCATCTCTTGTACGGGACAATATTGAAGGGCCAGTCTTCACTCCTCTCCAAGTAATTTTCTGCTTCAAACAGAAATTCTCACACAAACAATGACTAGATTCTACAGTTCCACTCCTCACGTTAACTTACCGAGGAAAGAGATTTGCTTCAGGCTTGAGGCACACTTTCAAGTGAGCAACCAGGCTCATCACCCTCACTTTTCACCGTTTCAGCTCCTTCATTTGTGATTCAAGAGAAAACACACCAGGTTCGTGTCTCAGCACAACAGGCTTAACGCACCTGTCCACTCAAATTAGAGCTAAAGTCATAAACTTTGTAGAACTTCTGCAGAGTCTTCAGATAATTAACTAACACGCTAAGTTTAGCCAAGTACACAAATCCTAGGACCGATAATTTGTGTAACAATAAGAAAGAGTTTAAGTTTGCAAATTGACCATTCCATTCTACAATAGTACAGCGACTGTTCCGAGTAAATGTACACTCAGCAATCCAATCTAACTAAGGAGACGAAAGCTTTTACACATTGCTAACAAAACTGACGACGCCAGAAGACACTCATTTGACAGGAGATGGCAATCCGATGATAACTACAAATATAATAAATCACTGAAACAATACATTTGGTTCCAGAATGTATAGTCTTTCGTTGACATGCCACGGTGGATGTGACGAGTAAAGTAGAACATCTTAACCCCAAAGTCCATAATGCAGGTAAGTACAAAAAATACTAACTACTACCACACTACTCCACGTTGTGCAAACCTTGTCCTTTCTTTCCATGCATGTCTTCTATCTCCATGATCATGTTTCTCTAGAATAACTACAGAGACAGAAATTACTCTTCCTCGGGTGTCAGACTTCTCCGAGGTGGGGGTGAAAGATCCTTCGCAGGGCTATCCTTGTCCATATCCTGATCTGGGCTGGGACTGATACTACGCCTCTTCTCCCGAGGCGGAGGACTCTGCTCCCCACGGTGAGCCTCTGGACTTGGGCTACGAGGACCCGGGCTTCTGCTCAGACTTCTGCCATTGGGAACAGGGCTAGGAGAAAGACTACGTTTTTCATCCTTCGGCAGAGGTGTAAGGCTCCTGCTTTTACTGCGGGCTGATTTCTTACGGTCACTCTTGGCGGGGCTACGATCGTCCTTCATGGGACTCCGGTCGTCCTTTGCAGGACTCCGATCACCCTTGACTGGGCTGCGACCTCTTCTGGGAGGTGAACGGCTGTAAAAAATAAAAATAAAATAAAAATAAAAATAAAAATAAAAATAAAAAGTAAGTGAAAACGACTAAATTCAGTTCCCTTGATTTCAAAATCATTTGTGAAAAGTAACTCATTGAGAATGTGAAGGTGCAGGTTGATTGTTATTTCGCACATTGACTTCAGCTAAAATATGAGCTTGGAAGTGCACCTGTAGCTGCGGCTGCGGCTGCGGCTGTGACTGCGACTGCGACTGCGAGAAACGCTTTTACGGGAGGATCTCTTTTGTCCTCTAGGAGAGCGAGAGCGGGAAAGAGAAGGACTGCATCAAAACCATAAATTCAGAAATTGTATAAATGACAAATATTACCAACCAGGTTCATAAGAAGCCAAAGTCAAGAATATCCATGAGAATTGGGCCAAGTAAGCTACTGCTCACTATGAACCTCCCGAGCAAGTCATTCACACTCACAAGAGAAGATTCATAGTGGAGATACATCAACAGTCGCAGCAATGCACTCAAACCTGCTAGTTGGCCTGGGGCTGTTGCGGCAGTTGCGCTCAATGTGCCCCCGCTGTCCGCATCGATAACACTTGTCCCTCCAATCACCAGCTTTGCAATCTCTTGCCCAATGGCCATCGTTGCCACAATTATAACAACGGCCAGTGCCAGGAGGTGGACCTCTGCCGAGGTATTCTCGAGCACCACCTGGGGCACCACGGGGTCCCTGATCCATCATCCGCTACATGAACATGAGTGGCATGCTCAGTTTCATTGAAAATATAGGTACAATATAACAGGCTCAGATAGATTTCACGAAGTTCAAACCATCTCAGGACAACATCAGACAATAAAATTCCGCGAAAAACCATTGAGACAACGAAACGAACAAAAAAATTAGACTCCATGCAGAACAGGGACTGGTCACTGTAAAAGGCCATTTCTCCAGCTCCTACGGTTGTGCTCACCCTCCTCGCGAACTCTACAATGAGCCTGTTGCCATCGAAGTCTTTTCCGTTCACATAATGTCTTGCATCATCCGCATCTCGAGCATCAGCAAATTCCTGAAAAAGTGAACACCAGAGAATTGAGCAGCCTTAAATAGAAACCAGCACTACACACAAAACTGAAACCAACATAGACCAGAACTAGCACGGCACATTGAAGTAGTGATATTCAGTCAAAACAGAAAAAAGCACACTGCTAATACCATAAATCACCATTCCAAGTGGATTACGATCTACATACTATCTGCGACAGAAAATTCATTTCCGAAAGCAATGAGAAGTAAAAAGCAATTAGTGCGCTGGGGGCACTAAGATACACTGACATTCTCATATCCAGGAGTTATCTTAGATCAGCAAAGAACTGAAGGGAGAATAATAAAATCATGTAAAGTAGAATACGTTTCAAGAAGAACACTCACAACAAAGGCAAAGTCGTGCTTCACATCCACGTCGCGAACTCTGTGGAAAGGGCCGCCAAAAAAAGAGCATCGCACCACGTCAAGAGCATTGTACGAAATCAGACGAATCACACAGCACTTTACTTCCACCCCAGGTCACTCCATGAATGTACGTGTAAATACGGCCACTCATACATACAAGGAAGCACGCCTACGATGCGCCTGTCTGTCTCCCCAACTACCTTCGCGAGGTTAAGCCACCAGTGCCACCAAAGACCCCCTCACCAAAGACCTCCAGGCCGTGAGAGAGCCCACCAACCTTCAACAACATCATGCAAGTGATTATGGCTTAGCCCTGCCCATTTCAATACCTTTCCTTGATTGTCGAGGCTGTCTGATTCTTGCAGTGATCAAAAGTGCCATGTAACGTGCAAGTGCAAAGCAGAACTAGTCACCTCTACAAGCCATGACTATCTAATTCAAATTCACTGAAATGTTTGCAATATGCATGTAATACAAGTTCAGTCATTCCAGTCATCACCTCAATTGCAATCACGTCTTAAACAACACTACCCACTGCAGTTTCTTTCCTCTAATTTCAAGGTAACCAATACACGAAAAAACTCTTCCATGAGGTATAAAACATGGTACAGCAAAATCAGACGCAGCATTAGCTTTTCAGACTAAATTCTCAAAGTTAAGTAGGATTATCTGCTCCCTGAGTTACTCAATCGCATTTACCAATCGCCTCAAAACCCTCAACCAACCACAGAGGGTTCTAACCTTGAATATCAAATGAAAAGTCTAACAAACACATAGGATCTTACCACTAGCTAAGGAATTTTTTTAATAATTACTTATCAGAGAAAGCATTCTCCATGATAACGACCGTAGTAGCGACGTAAATACGATTGCACAACAAGGTAATAAAGAAACTTATTGAAAGTGGTGACAAAAATCCCAATGGAAACAAGTGATGGATGCGTCTACAACAGATGACAGTAAATCGTATCGCAATTCTCATCGCTCATGTTGCCTAAGGAGCAATAAAGTAAGCGGGGAGAGAAGAAAAGGGAAAGAAAGGAAGAAGGGAGAAAAGGACAAAAAGAAAATTCTTCGTTCAAACACTCTATGCATCACCTTAGATCCAACTGAGGACTATTAATTGCCAATCAGCACTTTAAACACCTACAGGTGCTTCGACGCAAATCCAACCCATTCGCCTATTCCTGATAACAAGCGGTTCAGAAGAAAACAGTCATACCTCCCATACTTCGCGAAAAGGTCTTCCAAATCTCGACCTCTAGTACGAGTAGAAAGACGGCCGACATATAAACGAGTAGCCCCAGCATCGGGCACAGCATCCCCACCCCTCCCACCACCGCCACGATAACCCCCTCCGCCTCCACCTCCACCTCTATCGTCACGCCTGTGACTCCCTCTGTAACGATCATCATACCGAGACATTTTTCACAGAGAAGGGGAATATCGCGTCAGAAACTGCAAAAACAAAAACCAAAAGATTAGATCAAAGGACAGCGCATGAGAACACATTCGAAACCCAGCACTATTCTCAACATGGACTTGTAAACAAACTTCGATACTCCAACTAACTCAGCTTCTGAAGTTTAGATAGACGAGTGATGTAATCGTGATCTCTAAGCCTAAAAAAACAAAGCCTGATAGACAGATTCATTGAGCATGAAAAAGACCCATACGTCCTAAGGAAACGATACTAGAAGAATGTATTAATATGGCATCTCAAATGTAACACAGATTGCTCCTTAAGTAACACAGAAAACAATGGTTTGGAACCCTAAGCAACGGGAAAATATCCTAGACCAGCTTCAACTGTATAGAGTCTAGCAGTAATCAGATTTGAAAGCGGAACTGCAGGAATGTGACATACACCAAGGGCTAATTGGCACTTCTCGTTGGTCATAAAACCTTCCGAAATTCTAAAACAGCTAACCAAAATCAAAAACCAAGGAATCGTAGAAAAACCTCGGTTGTAAGTAACATGATACACACAACTTCAACCAGACTGAAGATTGCTTGAGTGCAGACAAACTTGGAAGGAATACAACAATACATGAACGAAAAAAGGACCCGAAGACCTCCGGCCAGAAGTTCTGGTGGTATGCCAAACTCGTAGGGCAGACAGAAACCAGCATATATTATAAGACAAAACAAGCCCTACCAAGCGATTGATACGTAATGGCGTGGTAAAGATGCGGCTTCTATGACGTTCCTACAACCACACGCATAAAATCCAAGCCACTCAAGAACTAGGTCAACCGAAACCCTCAAAACAGCGATTGGCATTGAAGCAACAACAAGCAAGAACATCAAGGACCAACAAACCACTTCAAACCAGCCACACAATTCTCTAATGATCTATTAACCACGAAAAACCCGTGGAATTAACAAAGACGCTCCATAGCTTTCGAACCCCTTCACCCTCACACAACAACCACATGTCCCACCTTCCACCATCCGCCAGCTTACGCAACATCAGACAAACCGAAGCGTCATTTTCAACAAACGGGTACCACACCAAACACGAGCCACTCTCTGCACGCAAATCAATCAGGATACGAAACCCTACTCCTCGAAAAGCACACCAAGAGATATGATATCCGTCACAGGAGCACGGCTTGCAACAAAATTTGGAACCGATGTAATTGTTCATACAAGGAAGGCCATTCGAGACGTACCGTAGAGGGGCTACGCAACGGTCTTGGCGTGCCGGTGGCGAAGCACCAGCTGGATTGGGAAGGGATCCGAGCTCCGTTTCAAGCCGCCGGAGCCATGGAGAACAACAACTATGGCAATGCCACAGCTAGAACACGGGATTGAAGCTTGACACCAAGAAACCGACTATCGGATCGCACCCGTTCACTCCCTCTCATCGGACGGTGAATTAGTCGTGGGGAAATTTTCATCCTTTTCCAACGTCTCTATGGATGAACAGAGGGTGCACAGTGAGGCCCCACCTCGAAAGCTTTGAGAAGATTTTTTTTTATAATTTCTCCGAATATTTTTGGGTATTTTCTCCCCCTCAAACTGTCCTATTTCAGACAACTAGAGTGTGATTGCAGAATGTGAGGAGCCAGTTTTTTTCGAGGGCGGAATTGAAATGCTTTTCATGTTGATTGTTGCATACCAGTTTGCCGTGGACGTGGCGTCACGTTGCAGACACCTGTGGATTCAAAACCTGGATAAGAATGAGTTTGCGGTTTTGAGTTTGACCTTGGTTCTGTTATCTAAGATGCTTTTGGTGTGATGCTATTTTTTTTGTCTCGAGTCCAATGTCCATGAACGGGTCAGATGCAACGATGTTGTGACGTTTGCCTCACTCTTCGGCCAGCTTTGAAGAATGTTTAATGACGTTGCATGATGGTTTAGTTTGGTTTGATTTGAAACAGGAAGCTTGCAACATGAACTTCTTGACTGAATCTGAGCATTTCAGGGCTGGCTGTATGTTTGAGAAATCCCCAGGTGCTTGTCCTTTACTGCCCGAAGCTAAGTAACTTAGAATATCAACACAAAATGTTGGTAAAACGCGGTTTATTCTGAGGATTACTGCCCATACACTCAGATGATAATGTCCAGTTCGAAAGCTACCATTGATCGTTCCAGTCTCAAAGGGCAATGCACCTCCAAGCTTCAAGTGAAGCCATAGTGATTGTGGGAGAAAGAGTCTTCAGCTCATCAATCTCAGGAATGTAAGATCTGACAATGTACAATAAAACATGAACGAGCAACAATTGTCATGTTTACTTACAAAAGAAGAGTGACGCTTCTACAAACCATACCATAGAACAACGCCGTGGAAGCATTTACAGCATGCACAATGATGACATTCAATTGACAGAAGAGTGCACCTCAAAAACATCGGACTCCATTTCTAGAGCTGCCTCAACGGCTGAAAACTTCTCTTCTCAAAAAATTCTTGATATCGGCACGGTGAGAACATACGTCTTCCAAACGACATTCAATCCCAAACCCTGACTTCAATCCTCTTCCAAGTATTATCACGACCGCTGCCGCAGTTTCAACACCAGCAGATCAAGAAGCATATAACTGCTTGAGAATGTCACAACCTCGAACATAAAAAAACAATACTTCTTACGACCCTGATCCTAATAACAGGAAGCCCTTCATGTCACCTCATACACGACTGCTTGTAGAGCTGCAGAGTCGACATTGACGACTGAGCGGTGGATGCACAATGCACGAACTGTGAATCCGACGAGATTTCAACTCGGGTTGTAACTCGATGGAGACATACCACCATCTCTGTGACTAAATTCACAGAAGCAACGGAAGGCCAGGAGCAAGGCAATCACACGGCGACGACGACCACATCGGCGTTTTAGCCCAGGCGACCAAGGACAGCGATGAAATGCAACATCGGGCCACTCACAGCAGCGTCTGTGTGATGAACTCAACTTGGACCAAAAGCAATTCTGCACGTAGCAATGCTACAACACGCCCCTGCTACGAATCACGCGAAACTTACGTGCACAGATTCGGGATCAGCTGACGCATCGTCCCTGAAGAAGAAGGTTGCTGAACTTGCTCGAGATTTTTCTTCTTCATTTTCACGATTCCTGAAATATGTTACCATTTTCGAGAGATTCCTAGGAGCGGCGAAGGTGGGCTGAGCCGCATCCGTGACGAGCCAGATTGCGGGGATTTTGGTGCACAACAATGCCGCTGACGTCACTGCGCCGAAGCGGTACCTCCACACACACACTGAATTCTTCGATTCCGTCGTTGGATGAACTTTACCGTTTAAATTTTTCATGGTCGTTCTTCATCCTTGAATTCCTCATCCAGTATGCGAGCCTAACACCGTACCCAGCGCACGGTGATTGTCGCCGTGCTCCAGCCTTACTCTTTAAAAGAACATTTTCTCACAGTTCCTCGTTTCACTGAATTTTTTATGTACAAATGCGATCTTCCTCAGTCCAAAATTATTCAAGTTGTAGATATTAAGATTATATATCAAAAAATAAGGGATGGTTAAATAGACCCAGGTTTTTACTAGATCAACCCACTCATCATAACCAACATGAGAAGAAAAATGAATAAAATTTAAATATGAATAAAAAAATGACCTCTAGATTCATTTCTCCTTTATTGGATCTGCACCCAATAAAAACCAACTACATTCATTATGATTAACATATCTTACATCAAGGGTGGGATTATTTAGTAAAAACATGAGTCTATTTAACATTCTTCTAAAAATATTATACCAAATAAAAGCTTATTGAATATAAATTTAAGAAAGACATAATTTGTGCTTTACAATAATAAGACTTCTACTATTATTAATCATGTTATAAATGTTTTCCCCTAAAAAGAATGTATCATTATTTTAAAAAACAGCTTCCAATACATTTTAAGGATGATTTATATCATAAATAAAAAAAATTATTGGTACTGGGTTTTGTTGAGGTTTAGTGTTTCATGTGATAAAATATTATTTCTTTTAAACCAATAATAATAATTTGATGTTTTATCTCACCATTGGTCACATCAATTTATAATTACTATACTTAATTTAGCATTATTTGAAAATATCAAAGTAACTCATAACAACTTAATAATTGTATATTGTATACTCAAGAATAAAACAATCACTAAAAATGAATAATTATCTGCTCAACTAAAACAACTAGGCCAGCTATATATGCAGAAGCTACCAAATCATTTTTATTTGATAAATGAATACTCAAACAACTCTAATAACATATAATAATTTAAAAGGAACAGCAAGACTTGATACACATAATAAATCTGTTTAGATTGACATCACTTGGCCAAAAGCATTAATTTCAAGATGCTGCTAGTTGCACAATTATCTTACTTCGGACTATTAAATTTACTTAAAACACAACTTATAAAAAACGCACTGTCCACAAGTACTTGTCCAAACAAATATATATATACATATATATATATTGGGCACTTTGATTCTTTAGACAAACTTTGACCAAATCTTAGTTTATGTTGCTGGTTTTCTATTTAAGTAAATACAAGAATAAAAACATGTTTACCGAATTGATTGTGGACAACCAACAATCTTTTAAATTTCCTGATGTCCAATATTCTATGTAATCTAGTTATTGTCACAAAATAAATCTATTGTACATTCATTCAAGGTTATTTGATATTCCACGACCACCCTTCAATTTATCACACATCAATGTATGCAAGATTGTGGAAATATTTGTCTAAAATGATGGCATATGTTTAGTTATGCATTTACATAATTTCCTTAGTACCAAAACTTTTAATAACAGAATTAATTCATGGTTCGTAGCAAGTATGTTTCGAGTGTTTCCTTGACAAGGATGTGTAAATAAAACTTTTCAAGCAGAAATCAAATTATGATTTTGAGTTACATTAAGAAATTATGAAACTAAGTATAAATTGTCAATTACTGAGATATCATTATGCAATCCACACACGTGAATTCACTGGTTCATTAAATAAGTTTTACTTTTATCACACTGCATTACATTGTTTGAACTGTATATAATTGAAAAGGATAAAATAAAACATCACAATAAAAATTACCCAGCTAACTAACTAACTAACTAACAATATATATAAATATATATATATATATATATATATATAATTTAACAACACAATCAATTCTCTTTCTATTTCCAGATGCCGCCTTTTGTTTTAGAAAATTATGATAAACTTTGTAAAATACCTTTAATTATAAAATATGACAGCTACAATTTTATAAGTTTTTCCTGTATTCCTTTGTAGTCAATTAATCTAACAAACAAAAGCTTTTGACCCTCTGTTAATGCATATCACATTTCTTAACTTATGATTTGAAAATCCTTTCAGATGTCAATATACCACAACTAAGATAACAATCCTTGTAAACATGTAAGATTTTAGTAATATTTTATGTAACTAGGACCAACAAAGCATTCCACAATATATAAACCACAACATTTAGCTCCGTTGTTACTAAAATGCTACATTTTTGCAATTGGAAGTTCCAAAAAGAAGTTTAAGCTATCAAAACAAAAGGATGTTCAACATCCAAGTGTTCCAGTAGAGACAAGAAAAACTATTTGAAATTAGCCAAATTGTGACACAACCCATACCATCGAAACTTTATTCAGTTGTCTTGTACATCAATAATTTGTATCCAACACAAATCATCCTTCCAAAGAGAATGGATTATTGATCATTAGATGGATACAAAACACACTAATAAACACTTCTCACTTCAATAACAAATACGTTTGTGTAATTCTTGGCTATATTATTTGCAGCATGGGTAGTTATTGTAATTAATGGTAGGCAATAACTACAACAACAAAGTTTGTAATTGTGGTAATCAATGATAGTTTGCAAAGATGATATTAGTGTTAATGGCATCAAAGATGCTTGTAAAAATCATGTTTTTGTTCTAACATGAACCTACCTTAGACACAAATATAAAAATATTGGACTTGTTTCAAATGTAGACTTTTGATTATTATTCAACCACAAAATTGGGTGAGTAATTAATTTTTTTAAAGGTTTATAGTGCTGATGATAATAATAATAATAATAATAATCATTACTATGATTTTTTAAACTGGATAAAATAAATAATTATATATATATATATATATATATATAAACATTGCTTTTGATAAATAAAATTCCATTCATTTTTGTGAAAATCGTTTCATTCATTGTGTACGCTTCAAAAGAACATACTTCAACTGTTTGATAAAAAGGAATGAGAAGAAATACCCAATGTAAAAAGGACTTTGCATTGGTCAAAAGTTTAAATCCGCTTTATCAAGCTGCACATTAATTAATGTTTATATATATATATATATATATATATATATATAAAATTTAGAATATTGATAACATATAATTTGCATGAGATGATTTTGGAGTAAGGTGTGTTTAGAAAGCAAGAGATTATAAATAATTTAGATGAAGCATTCTTATGTTCAATACACACATGTTTAGCTAAAATTTGACACTACAAAAAAATTATATAGTTATTTATTTTTGTAAGTAACTTCCTCAACTTTACGTAATTGTGACCAATCCAACCTTTGTTATTTGACGAAATCATGCAAAAAAATCCACATTTGTATCACGTTTAGTTTCACGCAAAGTTTAACATCCAACATTTAAAATTTTCATACATCTCAAAAATACGAATAATACGAGCCCGTTTGAGAGAGGACAAAGAGCATCTAATCAGAAACCACGAAGAAGTTTCTCCCCTCTGACAATATCCGCGAGAATCTCCGCACTATTCACCCACGTTCGAAAGGAATATTCGGGGTTGCCGACGTGGATATTTACGTAAGTAAATGACGCCATCTACTGGCAATTCAGTGTGGATGAGAGCGCGGGACTGGGAAATAGGCGTGCCCAGCGTTCCCCTAGACTCGACGTGTCCCGCAACCGCACCAACTGCAAAACCTGTCATGGCATCTATTCTGGGGTGGGGGAGGGGTTGATTGAAATTCAGCCAGTGAGAGAATGCCAAGTGGACAAATGGGAACTTTGGAACCACGATAGGAACGTGGAAGGAAACGTGTAAGCGTGAAAGCGTTGGCTTAACCCAAGCGAAGCTTGGATGTGAGGTTGGGGCCTTTGAGAAACTCTGCTCCTTTAGAAACTCTGCCCCAGATGGGCCAATTTTGGTTCGCTTTGTCCCTTGGACCCGCCCCCACGGGAAAAGGTTCTACACACTATTCTCAGGTTCGATGGCCTTTGGCCCCTCCTCCTCGACCTCCCACTCCGCCAAGCCCTTCGGCCCTCCGGAGATTTACGGGATCCGCCTTCGGCCAGCGTGGAAACCCAAAAGATCGAAGTCTCCCCATAAAAAAACCCAATTACCATTATGGCGAATCTTTGTTGGGTCCTCCGAGTTGCTCCAGAATTCCTCCACGGAAATTGTACCCAACTGGCTCTTGCACATAGAGAGGACACGAAGCTGGCAGCGAGCATACTGGAAACATGATTCGCTTCGCTTACGACGAACAGACCTCGTTGCAAAAAGTGGAAAGGCGAACGATTCCATGACTTTGGTCGAGGTTTTCAACGTCCCCAAAGAATTGTTAGGTGAAGCCTGGGGGACTGGATTGGGGAGAATGGTTCGGGAAGAATTCCATGCAACGATGCGCAGAATTTTTTTAAGTGTGTGGTGATCGGTTTCTAAACCAGGCAATGCTCTCTGGTGTGAAGCATTCCGAGGCCGGTTTCGTGCCAGAATGACAAGAACGTGGGATTATCTCTTTGAGAAACAGCTGGTGGGGAACGCAAGGGACGGGGGCGTGGGCGGCGAACACGGCATGAGTGTAGGCAATTGCTAACCAGGACATGAGTCGCGAGGACTGCCGATTGTGTGAGAAGGTGTCGCAAGAAAGTCTAGCTCGCTTCTCACTTCTCTTGAGATTGTACGCACAGCTTTGTCAAAAGCAATGGATTGCATGAGACTGTAGCAGTACTTCGGGCCATAACCGCACACCGCGCATTCGTCGGCGTTTCATTAAGGAATTAATTGTCTTCTTTTCTCTCTTTTTGAGGTACTGGGTTGGTGAATGTAGGTGTTGGGGGTGAAGTTTAGAGGTAGAGATTAACGCGAAGAATTCTCTCATGGGGTTGAAGCTGAAGCGGATGCAAGGGATGTCACATGAATAGTTGCAGTTTTTGGTCATTTGAGTTTCGGGAGGATACTCATTGAATTCTACACTAGGAGGGTTCAAGATCTCACTGCTAGATGTACGAGGAATGGCGATCTCTTCATGAGGCGGTGGTATTGACAGGGTAGCAAGGTTAAGATGTGGGTGCTCAACGATCATAAGCCCGAGGATTTCCATTCCATGGTGCATTGCCATAGTCAACGGAGGGAAGAATCTTGAAGCAGTTGTTCGCAGGTATGGGCAAGACAGACCCCACTCGATGTCTGTGTAATCGTGCACTCGGGAAGTGTTTGTTGGTAAAGGGCTTGAGAAGAGATGTTGCAGGAGCAACTGGTGTACGTTTTGAGCTCCTGATATACACCTTTTCGAAGTGGGTTCGAAATAGCCTCAGAGAGTTTTGGCGGTGAACGGTGATTGATATCCGATTATGCTATACCTGCCAACTTTCCTTCCGCTTCAGAGATTCCACTTTGGTAGCAACGTCGAATGGGTATGGTTTGCTGGTGTAGATCAGGCGGCCATTGTGCGTGCTACTCATCGCGAAGCAGAGGGGAGGATCACTTGTGTACTCATGGGTACTGTTTTAGCTGTCCAATGGGGGGGGGGGGGTACTTTCTAACGCCGTGATTGTCTTCTAACGTTGGTCGGCAAACTTGTCCACATCGAGAGAGCTAGCAAAAGGGTCATAAAACTGACTCGTTACAGTAGTAAGGTTTCGTTGTTAGCATTATAATTGTCACCCCTGGCGGATATTCTCGACTGACCGTGTGGTTATGCACTATGCAGCCGCAGAAGATTGGCCAACCACGGGAGAAGAGGGACCGCTATACCTCGCCGCAGGAATGTTGATCGAGGCGAGAGACTGGCAAAGTGACGCTGTGCGATCCATTCAGATCGACGCCAGCCCCAAGAACACTGTTCTAGCTGTCAAGAAAGCCATCGAGGGTAGTGAGATCATCGGAGCCAGCTTGCAACGGCTGTCCTACGGTGGTCGTCTGCTCAAGGATGAAAGAGCGCTGGAGGATTACCAGATTGACAATACTTCCACACTGCAGATGTGGTGGTGTAAATGCATGGCTTGTCGGGCGTTGTCGGCTGATCAGACGTTCCACACCATGCGCATTTACGTGGCGACACACAGGGATCAGACAATTCCTCTCACAGTGTGCCGAAACGGATCCGTCTATAGCGTAAAAGCCATGGTGCGGGAAGAGGAGGGGACTCCTGCAGGAAGGCAGCGTTTGATTTTCAACGATGAGGAGCTTCGGAATGGGAAAACTTTGAATGAATGTAACGTCGCCAAGGATTGCGTCTTGCGAATGGCGCCCACGGAGCCGGTTGGTCTCATGCCGGTGATGGTATGTATTGCCATCCTGGACCGAACAATCTCTCTGGAGGTTCGCAAGACTGACACAATTCGCGACGTGAAGGCGGTGCTGCACCAAGTTGAGGGAATTCCGCCATACCATCAGCGGCTAAAATTGCGGTATGGATACGGGTTCTTCAACAGAGATATGAACAACGCAGATTTGCCGGACGATATCACACTCGGGGAGCTGAACGTGAACCGGGGCGATTCTTTCTTCCTTCTCCGTCGTCAGAAGCACCTCCCCGACTGCCCTTGTTTCGAATGCTTCGGCAGCTCCTTCCACTTCTTTGTGAAGACCGTGGCCGGAAAGTCATTAGTGATTGATTTGAAAAGCTTCCATACCGTAGACGATATTAAGAGAAAGATACAGAGCAAGGAAGGAATTGCAGCTCACAAGCAGAAATTACTCTTCGGTGACGTCGAGCTCCAAGACGACAAGACGCTCTTTGAGTATGGCATCGAGGTAGACTCCATTTTGAGATTGATGGTTGTTAGTGGCGGAAAATCGAGCTTTAGTAGCTTCTTCTCCAGAGTCACTGGCTCAGGTTAGAACACTTGAAAACGTTTTTTCAAGTTCTAGTGCATCAGCAGAGGATCTAGGGTTAGGTTTAGCATCTCTCTCTCTCTCTCAATCTCTCTCTCTCACAAAAGACTTAGCTCAATCCAAGGTCAATTGAGCTTGCCTTTTCAGATGGTTTGTTTAAGGTTTGGTTTTGCTTATATTCCTCCAAATGGGAGACACACGTGACATAATTCAATTTTTCTGAAGTCAACTCGTCGTGTGCTAAGTCTGCGATTATCGACGGAATACCATTTCCGTTTTATTACCGAAGGTTTCTGCCTTCCGGCTCTTCTCCTTCGTCATTGTTTGCTTGTTCAGTCTTGGCCAGTCATTTTCTATTCTCGGTTTTTTAATGCTTTGATTTCGCATTGCGAAGGGCAATCGGCAATCCTGCGAGTTGCGAGGCATGCCAACCCGTACCATTTCCCCCCCCAGTAGAAGACTCCCATCATAGGGATTCCCTGCAATTAGGGGTTTCGTTTTGTCTGAAAGATCTCGAGACCTTCTGAGCCCGCGATAGCGTGGAGCTCCATCACGCCTGCTTGGCGTGCCGAGATACGATGTGCAGCAGTACATATCTGCGTTGCATTCGTAGCAATCATCTCTGAATCTATTCGTAGGAGATAAGCGTATTTAGATTATTGTTTATTCTCCATGCTGAAATGAACGGCAGTCGCACTGCTCGGAGAAGTCCTTGCAAAGCGAATCTCCATTTTGTCTCCAGCACTTGATCAATGAAAGCTCTCGCTATCTATATGCCGAGAGACTGCTCTATATCGAGACCAGACCAAGATGAAGTGGTAAAGCGTATCACCTAGATTTCTTCGGATTTGTGTGAGGACCTGAAATAGCTGCGCCCCGAATTCCTGCGTTGTAATTCCACGGATTCAGGGCAGGAATGGGGTGCTGTTAAAAGCTATCCAAGACTTGGAACAAAGCTGCAGTCCAGAGAGGTATCCAGGGGAGGTTGGGAATCGAACAAGCCAAAATTGGCAAATGCGGGGCTTCGGGGGAGTGCTGAGCTTGGAAACAATCTCTGATCGCGACTTCCCTTAGCTTCCGCCGTGGGAGCACCATCCCTCGCTCGCTCGCTCGCTGCCCTCCGAATTCCGCAGCGTCGCTTCTCCTCTCTCTTGCTCCTTCGGAGGATGAACGTGACCATCTGGTCATCCATTTCTCTCCGTTTCTTGATCTAATGCTCTACTTATTAATGCATGCGAATAAGGATTAAGTTGACAAAAAGATAAAATAAAATAAAACATATTTGAGTGACAGAATGTTAGAGCATGCAACTATTTCAAAGCCATATTTTATTTATTTTTTAAATATGAAAGTGGATAGAATTAGAGAAGGCAAAGAATGTCCTTACTATTACTTGGATCAGTATTTTAGCTTGACACACAAATTATTTTGACTTTAAATGTTTTTACACTAATTAAAAAAAACAGGGGTAACTTTTTTCATAAAATAATAATAACTAAATGTGCAAATAGAACTTGCAAAGAAGAAAAATCACAAAAGATTTAAGAAAACATTATATTTTATATTTTATAATTGTATTAAATTACACACATTTGTTGAAATTTACTGCAATTTTCTTTAGTAAGTGGAATATAAGCTTTAAATTTTATTCTAGATGATTAAGAAATTTTATATTAAAGTAGAATGTTTTGGTTTGTGCAAATCATTTTTTTGTTGTTGGTCAACAATGGTAATAAATTCAGATAAAAAATAAGTAAATAAATAAATAAATAAATAAATGTATAATGTATCCATAAAAAATAATAAAAACTTCAATTAAAGCTTTTTTAAAATCCATATAACTTAATTGTAACTAGTTGAACTTGTACCATTGGCATGAAACATTTGACTCAAAAGAAGCATTTTTTTGAAGGTATGTTTGTGAATCAAAAAGTATTTTTCACAATTTATTCAAAAAAATAAAAATAAAATACACAATAAAACTTTCAGATATAAAGTGGAGTAGCTGAATCCATACTATCGTCATGAATAATATGCAATAAATTAGTTAATTTTGTTCAAGAAATTACATATTAAGACATAACTACAAAAAAAACATAAAATTGTATTAAGGCATTCAAAGATGTATTAAAGTTAAAATTTAAAACTATAGATAAAAAAATAAAAATAAAATAAAATAAAATAAATATTAATAATTAATTAATCAAAACATATAAAAAATAATATTTAATGTGGAATTTGAATTCTTGTTTGGAGGAAGAAGAATTTTAATAGAATGGAAAGAATGGAATGAACAACTTCCAATCCACAGAATCTAATCAAGACAATAAATAACAAACAAAAGAAAAGGCGTAGCACCAAGCTTACCCCGGCTCACAACTATCACAACGATGGCACCTTAATTAACTTCTACAACTCCTATATACTTTCCCTTGATTCTCCAGATTCTAACCGTTGTCGTATTACGTGCTTTCCTGCTCGAGAATGCGTCGGGCGTTTGGTTGTAGAAGGTAGTATGGAGATTCGCCAATATTCAAGCAGTCTATCGGTTTTAGACTGCTGGAATATAAACGACTGCAAGAATACACCGTAAATCTATACGGATGTCCTTCGACTGCTCGCCGAAGTCCTTTTTGCCCCAGCCGATAGGTCTCTAGATGTTACAGAGAACCCCGAACAATCCAAACTGCTAATCTTCGATACCGCTTTATACTCACGATCTTGTATCCACTGACTGTCTTCTTAGATTAACCCAATAAATTTCATTCACTCCGCATACTCAATCCTATAGACACCCTTTTAATTCTTCATCATAGATGTAATTCGATTTCACAAAGCAGTCAAGAGTAATCACACCAACTTCATTAAAATCCCGATTCACCAATACAACACTGACTTCAGCAACGATTGCCTCAGTCTTCCCAAAACTCTATGAAGAAAAAAAACCCAATTCTCTGTCTTTTTTTCCCGCCCGAAGCATGAAGCTAGCTCTCCGACCCTTCTCCAAAAACTTCTTCTCTCCCCTTCCATTTCTTAACCTATCCACCCCTTTAACCTTAATTCTCCCCTCTTTCAAACCCTAGCCTCTGAATTTCTTCAATCTTCCATGTTGGATCCGAAATTGGCTTCCGCCGTCAGAGCTTTCTCTTCCATTTTTACCTTTAAGAGATCGTTTTACTGAAAAGACGTTCCCGGAACAGCACAAAGGACGGAACAGCCTAGAACAGAATCGGAGCCCCGTAATTGGGACAACATTGAGTTGCCCGACCAATTCAGGTCTCATATTGGGTAAGAGGCCCGTAGTAAGACCTGGATGTTCCCGCAATTGGATCAAATTGGTCCTTCGCGTCACATTGGCTAAGAGGCCCGTAGTAAGACCTGGATTGGATGTCTTGAAATTGGATCCAATTGGCTCTTCGAACCAGACTCACCCGTCGTTGAATTGGTCCTTTCCCTTTCTGCTGACTCCCGTTATTGGAATTGAACGGAGCATTTCAGTATGCCCCGGTTGACTGTAACGGGGTGACTGACCTAGGTCTCTCAGTATTTGCACTGGAATTGGTCATTGCTCCCAATATTTGAGGTAACTGAACATTAATAAAAGTCCCCTTTCTTTATATTTTCACAGTATACTCGTGTTACAACATGACATCCACCCCTCTAAACTTGTGCATCCTCCGATATGCACCAATTTACCCAATTGCTGTTTGATTTATAATATATTCTCTATGTCTTTGTCCAGTTCGTCTTAGTCACCTTCATTAATCAAATCACTTTCATCTTCATGCTGCGTACCTAACTTGCGTAATTCTCTTTCAATATTATATAATCTTTTTCTTTCTTTTCTTTTAAAATCATCAACTTTCTTATACATAATATTTCCATTCTCCAAAATACCAATAAAACTCGCATCAAAGGCACCTTCAGCTCGCGAGAGTACCTCCTCTTTTGTACCTCCATAATCTCGCTTTACAATGGTACCTCCCCAAAATCCTTAAATCCTTCAACAATCTTTGGCAATGGTTTCTCCCTCAACCTATCTCGATTCCGTTCATGGTTAGGAGATACTGTTAGAAATTGTACAGCTTTCCTCCTATCTTCACTATGTATCCTTGCATAAGCAGAACCATCGTCAAGTACTTTTGTTTCCATCCGTGTTGCCATAATATAAGGTTGTCCTAAAATCAGCGGATAAGACGTTGTATCTTGAACAAAGAAATGTTGCTCCGTCGCAACATCCCCAATCCGAATTTTGACATCTAGACAAGCTCCATATAATTCGCCCCGTGTGTTATTAGCTACTCGTATTGCCCATCCATATTCCATATCAATTGGCCATTTTTGCTTCTTATAAAGATCTTTAGACATGAGATTTATTTCAGAACCATGGTTGACTAAAGCAACAATTGGTTCTTCTTTATCTCCTACTTTCATCAATACCTCTGTAGTTGCCCTTGCCCAATGCTTTCGAGTATAATGGCTTAAGGTTTCCATTTCCTTATCACTATAATCTTTGAAACATACTCGTTGATTATATCCATTCTTTTCATTTGTTGGTTGCTTGTAACCAATATCAACCTCTTCTTCATCTTTATATATTCTTGCATCAATAGCATGACTCATTCCAGTTTCATCCATTAATTGGCTCTTTCGTTTAATGTTGTCAATGATAACATCATGAAACTCCTTCTTTGCAATTCTCAAAACTTCTTTCAATGTGAATTCCACCTTAGCGTTTAATATACGTTCTTCCAACACCCCTTTCAAATTTGTTGCCGCTTCAATGTCAGAAAGTAGCTTATAAGCAATTGATTTGCCCTTATCTTTTGTCTCCCTTGTTTTTTTTCTTCCAATGATGCTGAGGTATCTTTTACAAGCAATTCTTGTGAAGGTGCTTCCCGAGCCTTGTCTCCTCGAGTTTGCATCTTAGAAGAATTTCCTTCTCTTGATCATCAAAATTTCCTCGTCTCTTTTCTTCTATCAAAGCTTCATGTTGGCTCTTAGCAATATATGCATGAACTGAAAGAGACTCAACAGGATCCTCCCAACCTGTTGCACGTCATATTGTAGCTACAGTCCTCAATAATGCTTCTCGAGGTAATTTCCCTTCTTGCATTGTAGAATTGACAGAAGTCCAAAACTCACTAGTTTCCGTTCTTCCACCAAGGTCATCATCTACTTTAGCACCATAACTTGCACTTTCTCGTGCTGCTGTTTCATGCTCTTTTAAGTAATCTTGAATCAATGCTCTCATTCCTCCCTTGCCAAAATTGGTTTGAAGAAGATCCTCCCTATCTTTTAATGTATCTTCCCATCTTTCCAGCAAATAATTCTTTGCCGTATCATATTATTAAATTCATTGCAATCTTTCCTAGTGTGTAAAGCATCATCACACCAAATGCATCTTTGTATATATCCTTGTTTTGAAATATCCTTCAAATTTTTTGTAGAAGTATTCTCTTCAAGTCTTGCCAATTTGATTTGAAGATCTCGCATTCCTCGTATAATTTCTTCCATCTCCATATCTGTTTTCTTTGATAAGGATGTCGAAGGTTGAACTGTAGGCATTGTTGGTGGTGTTGTACGTATTGGAGCTTTGGGTGCTTGTACTGTTTTCAGAATATTGCTCCTATCTTTCCTCCTTTCTCTTTTTCTAAGCAACCCCACCGCATCTTCAACATTCTTCCACTTTGTTGTCAATCCTTTATCTTCTTCTTTGTTTTCAAGAAGGAGTTCTAATTTCCATTGCAATTGTCTATCAGCAGCTTGAAGAAATAGATCAACTTTGTTTGGCTCCAATGTCAAT